CACTGCTGCCAAATTAGGAAACTCTTGGACTTATTCAGTATGTTCGTTGGAATGGGGTGTGGGGGGGTAGAAACATTGTTTCAAAATGGGTGCTTAATTATACAGTAAGTTAGCCAAGAAAAAATATTTGTGCTAACATCGTGCTGAGTCAACATATGGTTTGGAATAAACAACAGCCTCATTAGTTTGGCATGATGGGTTTCTATCATGGAAGTCACTAATAAAACAGGACTGCAACTGAAACATTGCAGCTTGTAATAGAAGAGGCTGTGCCAATCCCTAAAAGGCTGTTTTTCTTTGTCAGATATTCAAGGAAATATGGTTTCCAACAAATACCATGAGCTGAGCTTCTGACCAAAGGAATGCTGTGCTGATTTGCTGGATTGGGTAACAGCAGCTTCTGTCTATCAGAAGATCAGAGACAGGTCAGTGTTCCATTGAGCAAGAATGATAATAATAAATAATATGATAATAATGATAAAAATGATAATAACAAACCCTTTATTATCAAAGTATAATATGTATACAGTGAAATTGGATGAGCCTCCCTCTGTGCCCCCCCCCACAAACTCACGGTGACTACAAACCCCCAACTTATTTCACCCTGTGAACTAATTTGCACATCACGCCACCCTCACGAGTATGTCATGCATAAAGTTATAAAGTTATGTCCCATTCAGAAGCCTGACAGCCCATGGATAAAAGCTGTTCTTCAGCCTGTTGGTACGGCTGGCAATGTTTCCGATGGTAGGGGAGTAAAAAGGTAGCAACCAGGGTGTGAATCATCCCTGAGAATTTTCCTCACTCTGCCAAGGCAATGGGCCCTGGCGATGTCATCCAGTGGAGTCAGGGAACAGCCCACAATGTCTTGTGTAGGCTCACCAACCTCTGCAATACCATCCTGTCCACAGCTGTCAGGCCAGCATACCAAACCACAATACAATATGTGAGAATGCTTTCAATAGTAGACCGGTAGAAGAAGGTCATGAGTCGTCATTCTATCCTGTTCTTCCGCAAAACCCTGAGGAAGTGGAGTCTCTGTTGGGCCTTTCTGGCCACCTGGGCTGTATTAGTTTTCCAGGTAAAATTTTCACAGAGGTAGATTCCCAAGAATTTGAAGGAGGAAACTCTCTCCACACAGTCCTCTCTGATGTAAAGTGGGGCAGGTACCTCTCTGATGTGCTTGCAGGGATGACCAATACATCTCTGTTGGACCTTTAGTTCAATCCACTCAATCCCCAAAAATATATGCTTATTTTAAAAGACACTTCCTGAAAAGACAACACATTCCACTCAAAGATGTGCCCTTGATGTCTGTTGTTATTGTAACTGCCGGCATCTTTCCGGAATCATTGGGCTTTTTACCATATGGAACAAGATCTTGGATTGGGTAATTCCCCGATCTGGTTCCATAAAACCTTTTTGGAAAATAATACAATTCTATTGCAAAAGTGGTTTAAACGTTAGGGCTAAAACAGCAGCTCATTATTTTTTCTGCCTTCTGAAACCCTGTCCCCCATGTTGGCTCAAGATATATGGCACCTTTAGGCCACATTGACTGATGGCATCTACTGCCATCAATTGAAGATGTACATTTTTAGAAGGATTCTGAAGGAGGGGCACTGCAGGATCCTGTAAGCCAGGAGTCCCCAACCCCCAAGCTATGGACCAGTACCAGTCCATGGCCTGTTAGGAACTGGGCCACCCAGCTGGAGGTGAGCAGCGACTGAGTGAGCAAAGCTTCATCTGTATTTGCAGCTGCTTCCCAGCACTGGTATCACCACTTCAGTTCCACCTCAGATCATCTGGCATTCGATTCTCATAGGAGCAAAGCCTACTGTAAACTGCACATGTGAGGGATCTAGGTTGCGTGCTCCTCCTCCCCCCCTGCCTGGTCCATGGAAAAATTGTCTTACACAAAACCAGTCCCAGGTGCCAAAAAGGTTAGGGACCGCTGCTGTAAACTTTGGCACCCTAGGCTAGTGCCTACTCAGCTTAGCCTAAGGCCAACCTTGCATGTCTCAAGGCACAAATATTCAATTATCCGAATGATAAGGAAGTGCAGTGAGATTTCATGTGAGCACTTCTTTTGCAGGCAAAACTCATCCTTTCTGTGATTGCATCAGAAAGATGAAATCTTTCTGATCGCATAATTAGGAATTGTCTAGGGCCTTACAAGTCCACAGCTGCAATTTACATCCTATTTCTTGGACCAGCTACCGTGAATGTGTAAGTGAATGTGAAAGGATTTTCAGCCATTCCATAGCTCTGCTGACTTTTCACCAGGGGTGAATTGCACTTGGCGTTTTCCTCAACAGACTGTCAATGTCTGGACCTTAAGAACTTCCTGTTCTTTTCTTGGAGACACACTGTATCATTCTGCTCTCTGGGCTGAAGATCCCCACCCTCCTCCTCTGTAATCCAACCCTGCCTGTCTCATTTCTTGGCATCCCATATCATGAACTAAACCCAGCTCCAAAATACAACTGGTAAATTTAGAAGTCAGTGATAACACTGCCAAGGAGAATGAATGATACTCTTTTCATTCACTAGCCCTACTGGATCAGCTCTTCACCAAGCTATTTGTTTACACAGGATGTTGATCCTCCAGCTAAAGTCACAAAAATTCAAAGTCCTCTGTGACTAAAACATACTGTGTATTCCCCTTGCAATCAAAATCAACATATGAGGCCTGAAATGAGCTTATATTCGCAGTATTTCCACAGCAGCTGTTATGTTTTAACCACATGTAAAATTGTCATTCATAACAAGCTGTGATTCAGTGTGCAAGTACAGTTGCCACCCATTCATGCTTTATGTGATGGTAGATTATATGACACAAAGTGTGCATGTTTGTAGTCCCAGAAGTAATGTGGCAGTCAAAATTTGGCAATACTAATGTCAGTGACTGATATTTAATTGGTGACTGCTTCTGGAATACCATGTAAATATCTACATATAAATGAGTGGGACTGAATTTTTAGACAGAAAAATCTGATGCATCTTCCCATGACCTTTTCTTTGGGGACAAATTCCCATAGTATTCAAACCAAATATAAAGTCAGCTGTAAGAAAAATCATTTAGAACAGAGGTGAGCAATTCATAGCTCCAAAGGGCTGCACTCTGGAAATCTGATACTAACCAACCAGACTGCAAAAACACAATTCTTCATATTAAAAAAAAAAGTAATATATTTGCTTTTTGTTTAGTAAGCTCATATGCTGTCCAGTTCCTTAATGGCTATGAATGCCCTAGAAAAATACTACAAAAACACTAATAAAACATTTAAATAAGAACTATAAAGCCTTCCCCCCCCAAGTGTAAACTTAAAAATATTAGATTGTTAAAATAAGTATATTTTAAGTCCATTTCTGAACCTTGGAATAGAAGGGGCTTGTTTCGACTCTGGTAATAATTTATTAGTGCGTGATAGGTTTGCCACGCAGAAAGATTACTTTTTTGCTTTTCATATAAGTTAACTTTGAGGAGGAACTACAACGGATAATATGCCATTCAAAATAAGGCTCCCAACGATCAATGCAAAATAAAGTTTATTTCTATGTTTTACGAAACAAAAGTTATAAAACTAGAAACAGGTTTATACATTGCATACACTGCTTACCAGAATCACTCCTTGATATGGTATCTTTGTAATGGTGGGCAAAGCTATGGAAAAAGGAAAACCTGCACCTCCTCATCAAGCCCCAGTTAACATCATACAAAAAAACCCTAACTGCTCTAGACTTTGGAGTTTGGCTTTTGAAAACTCTGATATGTCTTATTGTTTAAATATGCCTATCCCAACTGCCTGAAACGTTGTTCTCTTCATGCTTGGGAGAGCCTTTGCATTTGTATTTAAACAAAATGGCAGAAGGTAATGAGATTTGGACCAGATGTTTCTGATTTGTCACTCCCTGTTTGATTTGCATGATATCTGGTTATACAAAACTAGCAAATATTGAGTTTTGAGGCTTAGGTTCGCCAATCACACAAAACCTGTCAATTCACCCTTTCTGGATTCTACTTGGGTTCCCCATTCAGTATTTAAATCCAAGCATAAACTTTAAATTTCTTGTTTTAGGGATGTGTTTTGGTTAGCTGCACTGATACCTTAATTCAGAAATCTGATATATTATCAGTAAAACAGCAATAATCTAGTAAACAATATGAAATGAACCTGCACCTACCTCTTCAAGTCAAAATGACATGGTGGGAATGTAGCATGAGATATATTAAAATACTCAAACTCAAATGAGAGAAAACTATAAAAGGACAACAGAGAGGCAATGTAATCTTCCCTTGAACAATAATTTAATCTGGTGGACATGTGACAAAGAAAAGAAATATTAGAGTAGTATTCACATCTTAATACAGAAGATTCTTAGAGTGAATATAAAGATAAAACCAGAGACTTTGGGGTTTAATGGGAAAAGATTTTGAAAAAAAAAATGGGACTTTGATGTTATATATGTTGATGGTAGCAAGATTACCTTTTTACGCACAAAAATGGAAGTTGAGGTTTGATGCTATTATCTTATTCTACTACACCAAAAGGAGTTGGAAATCAACACCTTTTCTTTTTTTGCTTTGCTTTGCTCTAAACTTTTCCCTTCCCTTCTCCTTTCCTTAGTTTCCCATTACTTTCTTTTGTATTTTTTGTATTTTATATTGTATTTGGATAAACTAATAAAAAATTTTGTAACCAAGACTGTATTTATTAGCAATAGCAATAGTGCTGAGACTTATGTACCACTGCCTAGTGCTTTACAGCCCTCTTTAAGTGGTTTACAGAGTCAGCATATGGCCCCCAACAATCTGGGTCCTCATTTTATCTACCTTGGAAGGATGGAAGGCTGAGTCAACCTTGAGCCCTGTCAGGATCAACCTGCTGGCAATCAGCAGAATTAGCCCACAATACTGCAGTGTTTCCCAAACTTGACAATTTTAAGGCATGAGGACTTCAACTCCCAGAATTCCACAGCCAGCGTTGCTGGCTGTGGAATTCTGGGAGTTGAAGTCCACATGCCTTAAAATTGTCAAGTTTGGGAAACACTGCAATAGTGCATTCTAACCACTGTGCCACCATGGCTCTACTATTTAATCAAAATAATAGCTCCTAATCTATGCATATAATAGCATTCACCACTGAAATATATATAAAACAAGATTTGTCTTTGTTTATTCCCTCTTAATTATTTGCAAGAAAGGATTTCAGGAACCTTTCCTAACCTGATGCTCTGCAGATATACTGGACCAGTTTCCTGAAAACTGGTGTTCTACACATTTAGAGGAACCTATGCTCTTTTGCTTTGCAACTAGAGGCTAATAAGCATCATAGACTTTCACTCTCTATTTCCCACTAATAATACCACAAAGGTTGGAATGCTAGGCTAGAAAGAGCCACATTTTCTCTCCAACTCCACCATTACATCATCACCCAAATTCAGCAGGATGAGGCCAACCCACAGGATACCAATGAAGGCTTTATTAAGGAAAAAGCTATGAAAACATTTATTTACCTTTCACCACTTGTATGAATCCATTCTTAATAAAGCCTCCAATAGGGCAATGATGTTTGCTTTTAGCACCATCCATCAAGAGATTTGGGATTATGGCCATATAATCTAGGTGTTTGTTTTCCGTCCTAGAAGAATGTGAGGCATATATGGGATTCAATGAGGGAAATGAGCTGGTAATGGGCAGCTTCATGAGATATCTCAGAAAAGAGAAAATGCAACCAGTTGGTTCTAAAACCTCTTAATGTATAATAGCAAAGTCTCCTGCTGAATCTAGCTTTAAACAAAATGTTTCTTAAGAAGATGGCTTGGGGTGCAGAATATGGGTGAGAAGTTATGAAAACGCGATTGGTAACAGATATTAGAATGTACCCTGAATTTGACAAAGTGGAGAAAATTCAACAGTCCATATCCTCCAGTCACTAAATTATGAATTGAAAAGAAGAACTTTTGTGCAAACTTTCACTGCACAATTGTTTTTCCCCCTCCAAACAAGTTTCTTTTTTTTTCAGAAGCATAGGTTCTACCTGACATGCACAAATATCTTCCATTTTCATTCCAGCCTCCCAGCTATAGCTGTGGTATTCATCTGACTCCATTAGAACAGCCTTCCCTGCATCTGGGAAGAAATCAGTTTGGAGCCTACAGTTTCCATGGTACAGTAGTAATCTCAAATACAGTCCTTCATGTCACCTATTAAACAATTTAAGAGAAAACAGGAAAGACCACTGTCCAAAGGCCCATACAGTCAGACTATGATACAAAGCTAGATCAGACAATGTTCAGATTCAGGTAAAACAGCTATATATGGAGAGAAAGATGTGTAAAATCAAAAGTGATGTTCTTGTTCTGGAAATCTCTTGGAGTTGGTTTTTCAGAAATAATCTGAAGCTTGAAACACCTGAGGCTTCTTGTCTGTTCTTTCAACATATTTTGTACTCGAGGTTCTGCTACTGAGTTAGCTGTTATTTTGTTTTTAGTATCCATTTTGATGTAGAATGTATTTTCTAACCACCTTGGATTCTGGGGCATGGCAAAAAGTTTTTTTAAAAAAAGTTTTAAAACTAAAAATATTATTTAGATAATGAGTTACTTTTTTTAAAAAAAATTGTAGCAATGTCTCTTTCGGACCCTCCTTCCCTTCCCTTCCCTATGGGGAACACTGCCTAAATCACAATGACAAAGACAGACGATGCGGTAGATGCAAGCTCTTTCTTTTTCCAAATTTAAACATTCAGGAAAGAAGTAAGGAACCGCTGCCTTCAAAACCTGTCTTTGCCAACTCAATTCCCACCACCACCATCACCACCATGTATTGGACTACAGTAGTCAATCTGTCTGGGAATTCTGAGATTTGTTATCCAATACACCTGAAGGGTTCAGCTCAGGAGTCCCTTGCTTGAGAGAACAGTTCACACCTGCTCGGCAGCCATCGCCCTCTCATACATCCTCTCCAGAATGCGGTGGATGCCTGCGAAGCTCGGCCGATCCGAAGGCAACTTGCTCCAACAAAGGCGCATCAGGTTGTACAGCTCCAAAGGGCAGTTATCTGGGCACGACAGGATATTTCCATCTCTTACGTAATAAATGACTTCCTCGTGAGCCATCCCATAATAGGGTTGCATGCCAAAGGCAAAAATTTCCCACAGGACCACTCCATAGGCCCAGACATCAGACTCTGTCGTATAACGGTTGTAGAAGATAGATTCAGGGGGCATCCAACGTATGGGGATGGCGTCGTTCTCATTGGCTTTGTAATAGTCCGCCGAGTACATATTTCTGGAGAGACCAAAGTCAGCAATTTTAACCACCATGTTTTCTCCTACCAAACAGTTTCTCGTGGCCAGGTCCCGGTGCACAAACTTGCGTTCTGAAAGATAGGCCATTCCAGCTGCGACTTGTTTGGCAATGCAGAGTTGTTCAGTGCAAGAAAGAGTGGGCACGTTATGGCTGGAGGGTCTGATCTTTGGCTCAAGGTTGTTGCCAGTTGGATTACAGAGGCTGCGTGGCGATCGGTTTCGCAGGTATTCGTTCAGGTCTCCAAACGCCATGTATTCGAAAAGCAGGCACATTGGCTTTCCGACAGCACACACCCCTGAAACCAAGAATCTTTGTTAGATAAAACACGATTTGTTTGCCGTCGTTTCAAAAGCAAGAGCAAAGAGTCATTCCATATGCCAGGAAACAGAAGAGTTGAAAAAAATAGTACCTGTTGGTTCTCTTCATAGTCTATGTCTCATAATACAGGTAGACCTCGACTTACAATGGTTCATTTAGTGCAGTGGTTCTCAACCTTTTTATACCGGCGACCCCGGTCGTAAGCACCCCCTGTGCCGGCTGAGGCATAGCCGGCAAGGGGCGGTAGCAGGCAGGCCCGGACGCTCCCAGGCGGCCGCGGCAGGCAGGGCGACCACCGGCTGGGCCACCAGCTGGCCCAGCCCAAAGCAGGTAAGGCACCCCCATGCGTGCCAGCAACCCTCCCTGCGCCCACTGCTGCCCCGCTAGGCTTACCTTGGCCGCCAGCCGTTCGGGGCGGCGGCAGGCACTCCCGGGCGGCCGCGGCAGCGGCGGCGCAGGGCGACCACCGGCTGGGCCACCAGCCCAAGGCAGGTAAGGCTCCTGCCGGGCCCCACGCACGCCAGCAACCCTCCCTGCGCCCTGTTCAAGAGAGTCTATTCTATTGGCTTTTGAAAGCCAATAGAATAAGAGGGAGTAGCAGAGCTAAGGAAAAGGGGGAAAAATGGCGGAAAAAATGGCGGATCGCGTTGTTCGGCAACCCCCGTGAAATGGTCGTTCGACCCACAGGTTGAGAACCTCTGATTTAGTGACTGTTCGGAGTTACAACAGCACTGAAAAAAGTGACTTATGAACATTTTTCACACTTACGACCATTGTAGCATCTCCATGGTCATGTGATGAAAATTCAGGTGCTTGGCAACTGACAAATATTGATGATGGTTGCAGTGTTCTGGGGTCTTGTGAACATCTTTTATTACCTTCTGTCAAGCAAAGTCAGTGGGGAAGCCAGATTCACTTAACAGCTGTTTTATTAACTTAACAACTGGAGTCGTTTACTTAACAACTATGGCAAGAAAGGTAATAAAATGGGTCAAAACTCACTTAAAAACTGCCTCACTTGGCAACAGAAATTTGGTGCTCAATTATGATTGTAAGTCAAGGACTGTCTGTATATTGTTTTCTGTAACAGTTGAATACATATTATGCTTCCCCGACATTGTTGGCTTACCAGATACAATGAGAATTGCAGCTTAACCCACTGGGTTAATTGCCAGATTGGGCTACCAAAAGGAAGATTGCTTTTCCTGTTATGAAATCACTGCCGTGAGATGGGCATCCATATAAATTCTTAGAATTAAATATAAATAAATAAATGACATAAAATTAAATCTGCAAGAGAGAAGAGTTATCCTAAAGAAAAACAGATGTTTTAAAGACTCATTATTTATAGGACAGAAGTAACCATTTCATGATGGTGGAAAAGAGGAAGAGAAAAAAGAGGCTGTTTATAAAAAAATATGAAGTAAAAAAAATGGCCAGCATCACACTTCCTCTTTGAAAAGTAGCAAAGATGCTTTTCTCGCTGTTGAAAAAAATCCCCAAAACAATTTCTTTTGTATTAACCAAAATGATTTTTTTTTTTGCAACAGCACTAGCGACAGATCCCACTTTTTAAAACATCTTAGCTTCCAGTAACAATGGATGACGTAATTAGCTTAGCATGCCAGGAATATGTGGATGATAAAACAAGGAATCACTTAAGTGTATACAAAGTGATTTTCTCTCATCATTCAAGCTCATTGTCATTTGTGAGTTAACTGAGGCACTGGACATCAAGCCGATGAATTTTGTTCATCATATATAATCAGAACATGCAATCTTCTACTAGTACTATTAAAATGGGAAAAATGGAGACTGAGAAATGCATAAATATGTATCATACTTTTCTAATCAACATTCAGTAGTTGGGTTTGAATTTTTGCTACTGCCTTCAACTAACTTTTAAAGAAAAAGGAAGCATTTCTTAGTGTGAAAACATCTAGATCTGACTCAAAGTAAAGTGTCCACATGAAAGTTTTGGGTCAAAGGATGCTCAGCAGTCCCATAACCCTTTGGCCTTTCCTAATGTATCCAATATGGTGTTAATAAAAACACACACACATTTCTCCAGCAGAGGGTCAATTTCCTGTTTTCTTTTTCCTTTTTTGCTGCTGAAATATAGACAATCCTTTCAGCCAGAGGAAGACACAACAAAACCTTCAGGTGTTATTTCTACTGAAAATCAGTTTTGATTCAGATTGCAACAACACTCAATAGCCTTTGATGGGAAATGACAGAGAAGGAAAGGGCCAGAACGAAACTATCAAATGATGCACTGTATTATGGAAAGAAAGGAAGGGAAGTATTGGATCCTCTGAAATATTAGGTTGAGGGCAAGAAGACTCTCAAAAATTGCAAGTAATGTTGCGCAGGATGCTAAAGAGCCAGATGTATCCAAAGCTTTGCCAGATCAAAACTCACGTTCTAATACTGCCAAATCCTTCATCAATTAGTCATCTTTGATAGTTGTCTATATAATTAAGCCAGCACTCTAAAGGTACATTTTAAAATTTATGTCTACCATACGAAAGGGAAAACCGAGAGATTTGGCTTTGGTACCTAAAAGTTTGACAATGTTTGGATTGTCAAATTCAGCCATGAGAGCTGCCTCTCTCTGAAAATCGGCCTGCATGTCTGCTGAGGCTTCTTCTTTGAGCATCTTCACTGCAACCATTGTGAAGGGTTCATAGGGAAGCAGTCCAGGAGCCCTAAGGGAAGATGTAGAAAGAAAAGTTACAGGTTGGATGGAGTCCTTTATGGAATGCAACTCCCCAAATTTCCAGCAAGCAGTTGCTAAACTGTCGTGATTTAGTGGGACAGGAGGATTAAAAGAGGATGAGTTAGAGAATGATAAAAGAGATTACTATAGCCACACCCGTTTCCGTTTAACTTCAAACTACAATTTAGCATTGCATGGAAAGCATTTTTTTTCTCATTGGTTATGATGGGAAGGCATTCCCATCCCACTATTATCACCCTGACAGAACGTAGGATATGGCAGAGTGTAGCAAGAAATCACAGCATATCACTACCAGTATATCATCCCTATATAGGAAGACTAAGATAACAGGGCACATAGCAAGAAATGATATCTGTTCTGGCTTCATAAAGTATGCTTCTTTATTTTCATTTCTTCCTGAAGTTCAAATAGCTATTGATAAAATAAAAAGAATATGCAGAGCAATTGGTAATTAGGACCACGCTTCAAACAGAATATGATTAAAGGGAATTTTTACTTCTAAGTATCTCATGTTAATAGATACATCTGGTCTGACCAGAAGGAAGAGATATCCTAGTCATGTAGTAACTCTCTGTACTTCTATCTAGTAAGAACAGTAAGTGCATACAATCCTCCTGCTCAGCTGTTGGCTTAAATGTCAAACTGTTTTACTATTCTGGAGCCATTCAGTGGTTCTAGTCTCCAAAACATATTTCTAGCTTTTATGATAGCTGCTCTGGCCATGTGGCAGCCAGACAGGTGCAGCTGAATGCCGCAAATGTCACATCATTGTCAAATGCTAGCATAAGGCAAAATGCCAGTCTGAAATCAAATCACCCCAAGTGGCAATACAACTGCAAGCCAGGCCTATTTAACTTTACAACCAAGAGCATCAAATTCTTTGCAAATATTTAAGCTCAATGAAATGTCTTCAGGAAACTGTTGGGCTCCGGTGATGAACCACAGGAAGCTCTTTTAATGTACTTGCAACATATTTTGATCTGTGAGAAAGAGACGAGGAAAATGGTATGACTTCCTTGAGCAGTTGGAGCAATGGAAATTCAACTGACTTCTAATTTGGATTGGGGAATCTTAATTGCTTTCCAGAGCCAAAACATAAGCTCTGGAATTCTGCAGCTACAAAACTAAAATTCTGCAATTTGGAATATTAGATTTTCTATTTCTATTTTCTATCACCAAATACATTCCCACAACAGTAAATAAATAAGCTAGTAGTATGGCAAGATTCTGTCTAAAGCACTGTTTCTCAATCTTAACAACTTTAAGATGTGTGGACTTCAACTTCCAGAATTCTTCAGCTAGCTTGGTTGGCTGGAGAATTCTGTGAGTTGAAGTCCACACATCTTACAGTTTCAAGGTTGAGAAACACTGGTCCAAAGGATCCTGTTCTCTGGGCCTAACACTGGGAAATAATATTGCATCATTCAGTATCAATTTCTGTTTTCATCCATCTTTCAGTCTTCTGATCTCCTAAAACTCTGTTCTCTTGCAAGATACAACTAATATTGAGAAGACATTTGGTTGTTTCAGGTTCCAAGTTATCACTTGATGTTGGGGAGAAGGCAGTTATCAATTTATATCAATGATGGAACAAAATTCAATCACATTGCAGAAGTGGATGAATCTTTTACTGCAAATCCTCTACTCTCTCTTTTAACAGATCTCTTTAGCATTTAAGATACTGAACAATTACTGACTTTATCCACCTGATCAGGATTTATCTATTAAAATAGCAAACAAATCTTCACATTATTTCATATTTGGATCACTGTACAAACAAGAAAGCCATATAATATGCTGTTATAGGTTTTCAATGTCTCCGTCAGCATGATATAATATATAATATATTCTGATATCAATTATTGCAGTTTCTTCAGAAGCCACAAGTAATATAAACTGAACAAATAATTCCACCTTTATCTTTAAAACATCCTTTCAATATACAAAGAATACTTGGGTAACTGTTTTTTGCCTTGCAATGATAATATTTTCTAATCCTTCAGTGGGCCCCCTTCCTATCATGGTGAAGCAGCATTCAACAAAGTGTTAAATTAACTATTAAGAATGAACTGGATATATTACTGATGAAAGTTTCCAAGAACCAATGAGCGCCACTCTTCCAATGAGCTAAATGGTTACATAAGACATCTTGAGAGGTGAATGGATAGCTTTTTTTGCCCATTTACAAGACTTTGGGGGAGGGACTATGAGTGGCAATGGGAGAGGGAAACCTCCGCAAGATAAATCACATTCATTTCCACTCTTAAAAAGACTTGTATTACTCTCACCACCCCCTCATCAATGCCAGCTTATTTCAATGGGCAATATTAGCCAGTCCAGCAAGTTTAAAGGATTTCATGGAAGAAATGACTTCCCATCCAAATAACAACAAATTCCAAATAACAACATTGGGCCACCAAATTTGAGTAGGACTGTCTTGAGGAATGGAGGACTATAAGTTAGATCTTGAGTGGTTGAGTGCAGTCTGCATATTTGGGGTTGTCCACACCTGATGTAGATTAATTTTATTAATAAGAACAGAATAATAGAATAAAAGTTGGAAGTGACCTTGGAGGTCTTCTAGCTCGGGGGCCCCAATCCCTGGGCCACGGGCCATTACCAGGTTGTGGTCTATTTGCAACCAAGCCACATGAGTGGTGGGCTGGCACACACACCTTCACATGCAGCTCGACTTGCATGAGCTGAGCTGCGCATGCATGCATGCACACCAGCCTGCCACTCACACGGCCCATTTCCCCTCCCCCAGCTGGGTCACCAAGCAGCAATGGTTAGGGACTGCTGTTCTAGCCCAACCCCCTGCTCAGGTAATAAACCCTATACTATTTAAGATAAATGGTTGCCCAATCTCTTCTTGGAGCACCTACAACTTCTGGAGGCAAGTCATTCCACTGATTAATTGTTCTTCTCCTTAGTTCTAGGTTGGTTCTCTCCTTGATTAATTTCCATCCATTGCTTCTTGTTCAGCTGCTCTGGAGAATAAGTTGACCCCCTCTTCCTTGTGGCAGCCCCTTAGATATTGGAACACTGCTATCATGTCACCCCTAGTCCTTCTTTTCATTAAACTAGATATACCTAGTTCCTGCAATTGTTCTTCATATGGCTATATGAAGTCACCATATGAAGTGATAATATATTCTCTAGTGATAATATATTCCCCCAGTAGTCATTCTGCTCAGTATAAAAGGAACAGCAGACTTTTGGTGTTTGAGGAGCCAATGCATCTAAGTCAGAATTCCCCCTTAATCACAATGGTACCACAGCAGCAAAGGCCTTGGCGTGCCTGGAATAAGTGGGAAAGCTTTCTTACTGGAAGGGAATTTAGGAGGATATCACTAATATTGGCTTATGTAGTGCCATCTATCTGTGATATACAATTCATTTAAATACATCCCTATTTTCAAACTATTTAACCCTATAGGACTTTAAACAGAAAAAACTCAATGATAGCTGCCAAATCATGACTGGTTAAGTTTGTTTACCTTGCTTGAAAGACCCGCCCAAAAGCACCTTCTCCGATATCTCTTACATATTCAATATTATTTCGTGGATATTCCAAACTGAATAATTTGGGATTCAAAAGTAGAGGCATGCGTTGATACATAGGATTGGGGTGCAGCCTGTCCAACAAGAGCTCCGAAGGAAGAGTGGTCAGAGCTGGTGGTACCAACTCCCTGAAATGAATGAGAGAGAAAGAATCTGTGGCTTAATTGGAATAAGCCTTGCAAACCGACCAACAACTTTTTGTGACTCAAAGTTCTAGCGTCCATTCAGCCAGGATATGTGGAATATACAAAAATATACGAAAATAATATTGATAAAACACAAATTAAACTATGAGGTTATTTCCCTGTCATTTAAGGTATGTAATCCTGTCTCCAGTATTACTCTCAGAAGCATCTATATCCAAGACACTATGATGACACCTATAAAAGGCTAAATCTGCCTATATACAAAAAGCTCTCTTCCCTAAACTGATCCTTCCAGTTTCAAAGGACTTCAGGCCACATAATCCCCATCTTTGGCCATGTAATAATAATGAAAAAACAACACTGAAGAAGCTATATTGAAGAAGCTAAATTACCATAGGACTTTAGAAGTGAGACACACAGCACCTGCCGCACTGCATCCCACACTTAACAATTGTTCATAAAGACAAAAAAAAAAGTCTGAAAAGAAAGACAAAAAGTCTGAAAAGAAAGACAAAAAGAAAAAGTCTGGATAGTAAATGTGACAGTGTCTGGAGTCAACAGAAGAGAAGAGAAAAAACTGGGGGGGGGGGGAATCCCAAAATACAAAGCCCTGCAAATAGAAATAGAATGACAAGAAAGAGAGAGTCTGGCCCAAAATTATCCAGATGGCTTTCACACGTAAGGGAAGATTTTGGTTTCCTTTGGTTTCTAGTCCAGCACTTTAATCACAACACTAAACTGGCTACCCAATTCAGCAAAGTTGATGTAACTCTTCATTTTGCTGAATCTGATTGTGCTCACTAACACTTACCTTGTTTTGTTTTTCCAATGCTTGCGTCTCCGACAACAAGCAAGGACTGTAATAATGAGAATGATGACCATTGCAAAGCTGGAGATGATGGAGATGATGACAGTCATGGAGTAGGTGGGAGAGAGAGAGGAGAAGAAAGGGAAATGTGGAGATACTGTACTCAACTTTGTTGTTCCCAATGCCAAGGAATCTAAAATAGAAACAAATCAGACTTCACTTTTAGAGGCATTGTTGCTATTATCATATTGCCATAGAAATTAGTATGAAAGCAGCCTCCATAAGCAAAAGCACTGTCTGGTAAATTGAAGGGAATAGGAACTGGGCTTTTGTATTTAGTGTGGGAAAAATATTTGAGGATAAAATCATAACATTTTTTAGTCCTCAAATGGCAAAAATAAAGACTATTGTTATGGTTCCGATGGACAGAGATGAATAAAGCAGAACTCCGAGGCTTGAAAATTCCTCAAAGAACATGTTTATTAGTTACAAAGTATCGGCACGATCAAGAGTGAAACCAAGCCTGGAGACACATGTAACAATTCCCCAATATGAAGTTAAAAGTCCCACCCATAAAAATATGCAAGCAAATATAATTATTTGGTGGGCTTTTTTACACAACGCCCAGCCTGCAGTCTGCACTGTTTTGTAAGTGATAATGGACATAAATATTTTTAATGGGGTGCAACAATGTATTTGACAGAGCCACTGCTCAAAATTCGTTGGTCCAAACAGAACACCTCCCCTTGTAACATTAAAGCAATCACCTTCTCTGGAAAGCCAGACTGCAGCTGTTTTAAAGGCCCAATAACACACATACCAGCTTTCATGGAGATTGCCAGCAAAACAGCTGTACATGTGCATGCATGAACTGACAGCTGGGGACAGTCTTCACAGTAGCTCCATGAACCTTCTACAGATCACAGCTACTCTGATGTTCCAAGGAGGGATGTTTGGTTGCAAGCAACCTTTCTGAAACAGTCCTGAAAGAGGCCACCAAACCTTTCTAAAACTGTTTTAATTTTCACAACACATGTGACTTCAAAATGATTTTAGTTACCAATATGCCCAACTGAGATTAAAATACCATAGTACTGTTTGTAGGAAGAATCTGCAGATAAGGAGTATTAAGTAATCCCCCTTTTTTACAAGTGCCAAATCTCCAAATCAAATCAATCTCCACTCCTAATTTCATAATATAATTCCACTGTTTTGCTTTTAATGAAATATGAGAAAAATAAACAAGCCAGAGACATATACATCACCAAGCTTTTTCAAAAGAAAGAAGGAAATCAATATGAATAGCTAAGATTCAGTGATGGACTTATTTTTATTACTGTATAGCAAGTCAGGTTAAACCCTTGCAACTTAGTGAATTCAAAAACAGATGGTTTTTTATTGGTTAACTTTTCTTCCATCCTGAAAAAAGCATCATCGATTATCAGATTTAATTATTGATACTAGTCAATTTTAATTATTGTGGTAAGTTACTGATAAAAAAGATACTGAAACATTTCAGAACCATTTTTATTGTTTACAGCCAAATTCAAAACAGAAACAGAAGTTTATAGAGTAACGTTGAATTAAGCTTTGAAATAGTGGACTTCCAGTTTTGCCCAGTAACGCAAGTAGCCAAGTGATTGCGGGGCTCTATACCCTATGGCTGATTTTTTTCCTGTTTGGGGATCCTAAATGGGTGTTTCCAGACTTGGTTTCACTCTTGACTGTGCCAATACTTTGTAACTAATAAGCATGTTCTTTGAGGAATTTGCAAGCCTTGGAGTTCTGCTTTATTCATCTCTGTCGGAATCCATGACAACAGTCTTTATTTTTGTCGTTTGAGGACTAAGAAGTGAGAAGGAGGGGGATTTTTGCCCCACCCACCCACAGAAGGAAGTGGCTTCTTATGGAGGACAGAAATATATTGAAATGAAATGAATATAAGGCTTAAATCTGGATAAGTTTGAAATTGGTAGAATTTGTTAAGATTTTCTTTTCAAAAGATTATTGATGAAAACAGAAGAAAGTAATTGTTTGTTCTGAAAACTGAAAAACAAACTGTTGCTGACCTCTAGTGCTGGATGATAATATACAACTGTAGTTGCTCTAATACAGGAATTGGCAGAAAGCCTAGAAAAAGATAACTAGTTTTTGTGACCTTCAATGTCTTAACTAAACAGAGAACAGCTGAAACAAAGAAAAAAAAACATTTTGGGCTACCTACAAGGCAAGAACTATAAACCTTAGGAAAAAAATTGACCTTCCTGAATTATAAATACTCATTTAATTGTGACTCTGTTTGCAGAGAAAGGAAAACTTTGATTTTTGGTTATCATGGAACATCAGAGATCTGCAGAAAGTACATATCAAGAGAAAACAAATACCTTCCAGGAGGAAATGTATGCTATGTTGCAACTAATTCAAACAACAATGATTTCAAACCATGGGGAAATTAAAAATAACTTTGAAAATATAAATGAACACATCTTCAATTTAACCTTACAACAAAAAAATCTCTCAGAAAATAAAAATAGAGAGCGATCAGATAAAGCAGACAACTGAACATAAACCAGAGAAAAGAGATTTAAAGATGGAACCCAACAATGGAAGGAATTATGACTTAACCAAGGGAGAGAAAAACTTGCAGGAAATATTGGACATGGAAAAGATAACCTACACTTCAAGATTGCAAAATAAGTCTGAGGACAAGAAAAAAGATTTGACAAAACGGATTATAGAGCTGTCAGGAGAACTACGAGAACCTGAGAGACAAAAAATGATAAGATAAATTAAGACAGAGAGAAAGAAAAAGATTTTCAATGAATACGAAGGGGTGAAACCCTCCCACAAAAACATCTTACTGGATTTGTCTCTTGTACTTACAACAACATCTACAAGACTATGGGAAGACTTTTTGGTCCAGCAGAGCATACTGATTAGGAAAAATGTTTGGCAAAAAAAGAAAAGGTTAAAGTTAGAATTAAGAAATTAGATGATGGGATTTATCAGAGGGAATATCTAAAGATTAAACACTTGTTTGAATATGGTTTTAAAAAATAGAAAAATTCTGGATATAAATGTATTTTAGTTTAAGAGGGATGGGCCCCTCAAGTAACATAGTATTTTTTTATGATATGAGAAATATATAAATGTTGGGATGGTTTATATGAGGGAAATGTTTTAGATACTTAAGTGTAATTGATCCTGAGAAAATCTCAATTGATAAGAATGTTCTGAATAGATTCAAAATATTAGATGATTGGATTTATTAGATGCAATGTTTAAAGATTAAACATTTGTTTGAATATAGATAAAAGGAATAGAAAAATTCTGGATATAAATGTATCTTAGCTTAAGAGGGACATGTTTCTCAAGTAGTATACTATTACCTTCTTTTTTTTCTCTTTCTCTTTTTCTTTTTTTTTAAGATATGAGAAACGTAAAATTGTTGTGATGGCTTGTATGAGAAAAAAAGACTTAAATACTTAAGTGTAATTAACTCTGAGAAAATCTTAACTGGTAAGAATGTTTTGAAAAAGAAGCTTTATATTGACGTAGTTGTTAAATACTAGAAAAACATTTATATTCAATTGTTATCTATCAAAATACTAAAAAATGTACTAATTTAAGGTTGGTAAAAGAGAATATTTTCGGAAAAAGAAAAAATGAAAGAAAGCTACTATGTGGATTATGGAACTATAGAAATTAACTGTTATTGATTGCTTTTTAAATGAAAACCCAGCCAACATGCTGTTTACCAAATATTAAGGTGACTATATTAAAAAAATCAATAAAATATATATTTAAAAAATAAGTTTTGAAATAGTGAGTTTGCAGCTTTTGGACTAGATCCACTGGGTAAAATTCATATCAAACACTCTTTTTGACTGAATAATATTTGTAATGGGATCTCACCATCTTCACACTGAGGTATGTGGCAATATTCCCACTGTATAGAAGGATCTTTTGTATAACACCAGGGCCGTGCATTTTCACCCCCTGGATTACGACAATAATTGATTGCATCAAAGAGCTCTGGAAAAATCTCAGGTGTTTTTCTATGTGCATGAGGAACCTAGTGACAAGGGAGAAGAGAGTAAATATTTTTCAAGTATTTTCTCAACTTTTTGGCACTTTTGAAGCAATCGTAGCAGAAGTTTGGAGCGAATGAAAACTCCAGGGGGGAAGAGCTGATGAATCAGTACTAGGCTATATCTTCCCCATTTAAAAATATGAATGGAATGATCAACTTGTTTTCCGGCCATATGTTTCTCATATCCCACCATTTGTCTACTCTGCTGCCACATTAATTTATTTAAAAGAAAATTCTGCAGGAAAGTATGAAGATGAGTTGATTTTCTCCGCTTTTCAAAATACATTACCACCTTTTTGATTTGTTTCCATACTTATTTTTAGTACTTTTTTTTTTCATTAGAAAGAACCCCAGAACAAATCAGTAAGAGCTGCAGAAGAGAATTGTATTTTATTAGTCAGGAAGATCAGTCCATTTCATTTTGCAACACAAAAAGAACAAAATCCCCAAGCATGCCAGCAATGTGTTTCTCATTTTAGAATAGAATAGAATAGAGCTGGAAGGGACCTTAGAGGTCTTCTAGTCCAGCCCCCTGCAGAAGCAGGAGGTCCTGTACCATCTCAGTCAGAAGATTGTCCAGTCTCTTTTTAAAAACTTCCAGCGATGGAGCGCCCACGATTGCTGAGGGTAAGCTGTTCTATTGGTTGATTGTCCTCACTGTCAGGAAGTTCCTCCTACAATTCAAACTGTGCTGTTCATCTCCCAACATAAAGCTCTTTTTAATCTCAAATAAACTTGACATAAACAAGCCCACATCTTTCTTCTCCTGTACACAAAGGCTAATCTACTTCCTTGCCCAGAAATGATTTGATATCAGTGATTCCCAGAGGAAGATATATATTCAAATCTACTTTACAGGAAAGCTTTCCTCCACCTTGAAAAATAGTTTTTCTTACCTGTGCACTCCACTTCTGACATGGAATGCCAGAGGCTGTGACATTCACCGAACCTTCATATGTTGCCCCATTCCCTTTGTAACAAGTTTCTGAAGAGAAACAAAATTAAACAGGATGGTCTATAGAATATATTCCATTTGGGGGACAAACCATATTTGCTCTGGCAATATTGAAAAAAATAAAGTTTTTTTCCCAAGGGTTAAATGGGGAGACTGAATATGGTTCACTGGCGTCTTTTTGACAGATCAGGAACTCAGCAGGATAATTTATGGGGCGGCTGTAACAGCTGTCTTAAACCTCAGACTCTTTCTCTTTTTTTTATAAGACCAGTTAATTTAATTTAAATTTTTACTATTACAGTCAAGAGCCTTCTGCCCATCCTGCTAAATTGCCCAACACTTTTTACAAAACCATATATTCTTTTAAAACTTCATATTCTAAAGAGAACTGCTTACTTGTTGTGCCTTCTTTTTTCAGCTCTGAGGAAAGAAAAAGATAGAAAAAAATGTAATCAAGATCCTATATAGTAATCCCCGAGATAAAAGGTTTGGTGCTGTGGTATTTAGTATGACATAATTAAAGGAACATTAAGTTACCAACCAATCATCATAGCTATGCCTTTATCCCCAGCTAGATGATCCACCATTTGCAGATAAGTATAAATCATCATGGAAAGAACATTTTAACCCAACCTTTTTCTGTGGGATACATTGTTCTTCCAATTGATGAAAGAGATCCTCAACATTTTGATTAAAATGCATTCAGTGATATGTGGAGGTTGAACATTTCATAGATGCCCAAGCTGCCAGATACGTGCCTCTACCTAAGAGAAAAACTTTTACTTCTTGCCTTGTGGTGTCCTTGACTGTTCAGAGGCTAAATCAGAATCCTGTTACCCATGACTATTTATTACATTTTTTTAATATATGCCCTACCCTTGTAATCAATTGGGAAACAGATGGGAAGGGAAATTGGGCAGGACTCTGGATCTAACAGCACTCATGTCAAATACATAATTTTCACAAGAACTTTTGTGGAGCAAGTGGGGAGATGTTTATTTTATTTATTTAAAAAAAATAGTATGGCCATCCATCTTCGAACACAGCTCTGAGAGGCTTCCAATCACAATTAAACTACTCCAACCAGAAAACCTGAAACTAAAAATACAGAACAGGTAGTTTTTGATTTACAACCTCATTCAGCCCAAAATTTATGTTGCTAGGCGAGACAGGGGTTATGTGAGTTTTACCTCATTTTATGACCTTTCCTCACATGGCTGTTAAGTGAATCACCCAGTTGTTGAATTAGTAACAGGGTTGTTAAGTGAATCTTGCTTGTCTATTGACTTTGATTTGTCAGAAGGTCGCAAAAGGTGATCACGTGACCCTAGGACACTGCAACCGTCATAAATATGAGTCAGATGCCAAGCATCTAAATTTTGATCATGTGACCGTGGAGATGCTGCAGTTGTTGTAAGTGTAAAAAAATGATCATAAGTCACTTTTTTCAGTGCTGTTGTAACTTTGAACAGTCACTAAACAAACTGTTGTAAGTTGAGGACTACCTCATCCTCCCAGGATGCCCCCAACCACCATCCCCCAGCTGTCCTCACTCTAGTCCAGTGTCCGTGTGAAGAGTCAGCTCTTGATGGCTTTCCAGAAGGCTAAAAAGTGTGAGGGTCAGCCAGATTGCTGGGAGGAGGGTGTTCCATAAGGTAAGTTTTATTACACTATCCTGCAATTTACTGAGGCACTTACCAAAATGTGGGATCCTGGTGCAGACGGTGGGATCTTGGTGCATGCTGGGAAGTCTATTACACTCTGGCAAAGTAAGCAACATCAGTGCCGGCTTATAAATACCTCTGCGGGCATTTTCTTCCATCGCAAGCCATTCCTTAAAGCAGTAGAGATCCTTTACAGCAAGGCAATGCTCTCTACATCGTTTATAAACAGTGGAATGCATAGTCAGCCATACAATCACAATATTGCAGTCACAATGGATTGTTACATAAACACACAGCCACAGAATGGTGTAAATAAGATAAGCAAAGGAATATCGATTATGAATCTCTTTTAAACTAGTGGAGGATCTGTTTTGTACACTGAAATTAATTATCTTTTAAATCTTGCCGGGGAGTCTGTTTTTTTGGTACTGCTATGCCACCTTTTGGCTTTGTTTTCTTCGTTCATTTTGCATACATGTATTAGCATATTTTGTCAACAGCCATGGCCGAACACCCATTCACAAAAAGCCAACTGCAGTTGTATGATAAATAGAGAGCTATACATCTTACTCTGCTAACAGGTGGTTGACAGTCTCTGTGTACAGAGTTGCTAGGTGAAGGAAGAAACTTACTCCAGAAAAGATCTGAGGAGGCTTAATTTTTTCAGAATGATCTGGGAATCTATACTCTTGCTTGATTCAAAAGTGGAAAACATTGGTGGTCAGATTCCAATAATTCCATGCAACCTCTTACCCCATGCTAAACAACTTTAAACTCAGAACATGTCCAAAGCCTGTTTTTCAATGGCATGGGATAGAGGCCCTGAATGGATGCAAACATTTAACATAGCCTTTCTGGTCATTGCCACGAAGGACCAGATGAGGAAAATGTGTAATTACTGTGAAATGATGGAATAAAATAACGAGAAAGGGAAGTTACATTGTGCGTATTTCTTGTTTGTCTGGGGTTTTTTTTCCGGGGGGGGGGGTGTTATCTAAGTGCCCCACTCTAAAAACAGAATGCCAAATTAAAAAGAATGTTTGCTTTGATCTAGTAGAACAGAAGTTGCGTTTTGTGCAAGAATTAGAAATACAATATGCCTGTCCTCTTTTTGCCGACCCCCTCAATTTCAAATATTATATCAATTAATCCTAAAATGCACTTGGATCATTGCTTACATGAACATATTTATTTTACAGTGTATAGAATAGTGGTGAAGTCAACCACCATCACGTTCTCAAGAAAAGAAGACTACTTGAATCACACAACTCAACTTCAGGCTGTGTAACGGAACGGCATATAATTTGTGGAATAAACCAAGAATCCAAAGCAAAGTGTTTTGCTGATTTCTGTTACCTGCAAACAGGTTTTGGAGCAGGTCCAATCCTGGAGGGGTTGCATTCCTGGAAGATGTAGTGACAGAGCAGTGACTCAGCAGCTGGACGGCAGAACGGACTCATGGTTTTCAGCTCAGCCCAGGCTGTGCGAACAAGCAGTTCCTGGGTCTCCTCCGGGTCTCCATAGGAAGTATTAAAGAAAACAAATGCATCCTTTGCCAACAAAGCACTGCACACGTCTCCCCGATATGAACTGCAGTAGCCTGCATCACCTTTGTAGAATTTGCTGATGGGAGAAACACATGTAGATAAGGATTTCCATGCAGGCTGGAACTGAGCAAAGGTGTACAGCCACTGAAGAAATAACAATGGCAATTCTGAGGGCTATGAGGTAGTCCTTGCTTAATTGCCCAGTTTAGCAACTGTTCAAAGTTAAAGCAATAACTTTATGGAAAGTAAAGTTTATGACCAGCCTTCACAATGTCACAGTTTCCTTGCAGTCAGGTGATCAAGAGTCAGATGCTTCACAGCCAATGGGTATTTAATAACTGTTGCGACATCCCACAGGCATGTAATCACCATTTGCACATTCCATTGCCAACTTCTGACAAGCAGAATCAGTGGAGAAACCAGCAGTAAAATTGCAAGTTGCAGTCACATGATGTCTCACTTAACAATCGTTATCACTTAATGACAGAGTTGCTAATTCCAGTTGTGGCCAGTAAGTGAGAACTACCTGTACAATATATGTTTGAGTGTTATGTCTAGTAGATCAGCGATCCCCAACCATTCCAGCTCCGTGGACTGGCAGCAGCAGCAGCGGAGGGAGCGGGGAAAGGGGTGGTTTCACACATGCAACCTAGCTCCCGCACATGTACAAATGAAGCTTCACACCCTTGCCCACTGCTTGCGTGGCCCGATTTCCAATGGGCTGCTGGTCAATACTTGTCCACAGCCTGGGGTTTGGGGACCCCTGTAGTAGATTAGGCAAGATTTTCAAAATAATTGTAACCTTTCATAATCCTCAGAATTCTGGATCAAGTGAGAAGGCTAACGGTTTAAAAAAAACAGATGAAAAGAAAGAAACAGCATATTTGATCTTTAATCCATATCTTTGCAGTTGACATTCTTAATTAGAATAAATTGAAGTCACCAGATTCTGGTCAAGTCCGGAATTTAGTTAAGAGTTTCCTAGAGGTTCTCCCAGGTTTGTTGGAAAGAAAAAGCAAGCAAATATTTTGGAAGTTCACATTTTTGGAATGATTAATCCCAGCTGTTAAAATCAACACTCTTTTATCAGAAAGATTTAGGATAACTCCCAAAGTAATCTAACAATTTCCCAATTTTGTCTAATAATCCATTCTCTTTCCCAATAATAATGCTAAAACTAACAGGCACACATCCCAAGATCAGTCATAGTTCCCTATTCCCTCCACACACATACCAGCTTTTAATCAAGACACCTGATAGAGAGTTGCTTGGACCCTCAAAAGCAAATCCACTATGTATAGCAAACTAGCTATGTACTCATTTGTTTAAAATCTGCAATTTAGAAATTAAAAAAAAAAGATCTCTGCAAGTGGCATCCTTAAACTTTTGTATATTAGAAAGTAGATCTTATGGAAAATCTCTGTTCAATAAGTGGAATGTATGTGGCCTTTTCAATGCAATCAGGACTCTGGTGTGTCTGGCAGATGCTAAATATTTTCAACTGTACATGCACAGTTTCTTCCTTTGGGCCATTTGCCCAACAAATAAAAAGTATCTGAATATAGTAATTGAACACACATGTTGTTTAAATATGTCAACCTAACCTAGCCTCCAGAAGAGTGAAGTGCAGTTGTCCTTGCAGAGAGAGAGAGACAGAGAGAGAGAGAGACTGAGAGACAGTGAGACAGAGAGAGAGACACAAACAGAGAGAGAGACACAGACAGACAGACAGACAGAGACAGAGACTGACAATTTGTGTAGTGTTTAAGGCAGTGGTGGAGAACCTATGGCACGCGTGCCAGAGGCGGCAATCAGAGACCTCTCTGTGGGCACGTGCACCATTGCCCCAGTCCCGCCTCCCCCTGTGGCCCCCTCCTCACCAGCAGCTCCCACAGAGGAGAGTCGCCCCTGGGCACGACCCATACAGAGCAGCGCAGCCAAAGACGTGTCATCCAGGCAGCAGGGACAAGACTCCACCCTCGCGTCCCATCGCACGTGTCCCATCGCACGTAGGGTGCGGGTGGAGGGTGTGGCTGCCATGGTGCTGCAGGGCTGCCTGGGTGATCTGCTGCGGCAGGCCGTGGAGGCGGTGGGTGGCCCTGCGGGCAGGCGGGGTAGGGGTGGAGTGGGCAGGACAGGGTGGGGGCAGGGCGATTTTTGGGCACTCGGTGTCTAAAAGGTTCGCCATCACTGGTTTAAGGCATCAGACTAAAAACTGGGAGACTGTATTCTAATCCTGCCTCAGGCAAAAAGCAGTAGGTCTCAGGTCTATACTTATAGTCCTCAACTAACAACAGTTCCTTTAATGACCATTTAAAGTTACAATGGCACTGAAAAAAGTGATTCTATTTTTATGCTTGTTGCAAAAAGGACAGGTCTTTGATTGCAAGGCCACAACTACCATCTTGACTGCTTTTTAATACCCCTATCCCCATTTGTCTTGCTCAAGGATTGCAAATTTACTCAGTTCAAAATGGGGGACTGCCCATAGTGGCTAATTACTAAAGGAAATTACTGTTCCAAGGAATCCATTTGACTCTGGCAAATCATGATTACCAATGTGATGTTAGACACGGATGGCAAACCAAGGCATTTCTGCCAATATTTCACTTTTATTTTATTTTTTTAAAGCATCTATGTAGCCCTCCATCTTCCAGACAACTCTGGGCGGCTTCCAATAAAATCATTTTTAAAGACTGTAAAACGCACTCAATTAAAAGATAAAACATTTAAAAAATAATAAAAATGAAAACCTGGCGCCCATGACTGCAAATATATCATTTAATCCCTCAACTTTTGGGAGAAAAGCCAGGTCCTTAAGGCATTTATAATGTTGAGGACTGTTTTTTGTTCCACAGTTGCTTTACAGGCAAGTGCACAAAAATCATTAGCCTACAATGTCTTGTTAAATGCACTTGCACATCCATTCTAATGGTAACCCTTTCATGGCAGAGACTTATTTATAGATTTATCAAAAATTATATGGCTGCCCATCTCGCACAAGTTGACGCTGACAGTACACAATAAAACAAAGGCTATTCTTCCTCCAGACAACTCAGCTCCCTTCATATGAAACACATACAGGATTGCTCAGCCACAATTATTTTATGAAGCTTTACTCAAAGGTCACAGAGTTCAATTTATATCCATTCTAAATATTTGGAAATGCCAGCTAACTGCACCTTTGCAGAACCTTTCACATTCACCAATCCATCTGCCTGGAGGAAAATAAGTTGCCTGCTTTTGACAAGATGAAGAGCATTTCCAAACGCTCCATATTTACAGATGAATTCCAGCTGCAAGAGTGCCGGTCAGCTTTCTCCGTTTTAGAATTCTTTCTCCGGCGTTGCAACTTAACTTGCATCTTTAGTTCTACAGCTTTTTTGCCTACCATCCAGAACTGGATGGCTTTTTCCCTCAGCTCAAGTTTGAAGGAAAGGAAGTGATTAATGATGACTGTAACTTGATCGCTGTGCAGCAACCCTGCGGATATAGCAGAGCAAGTCAGGAATCCTATTTCTTCCTGTGCTCAAGTCTTTTCCATTCCGATTTTATGAATGATATACAGAGATGCTGCCAGTAGTCTTACAAGCTCTGCTCCTAGCCTTCATTGTGTCAAAGACAGGCTTCTGAATGAAGGGAACTAGCAGGGCTTGCAACAACACGTAGGAGGACATCTTCAGCGCTTAAAAACAAAGCCCCTGCTCAGAATTCAGAATTCACATTTGCCAGCCAAATCTCTGGGGATACTATAAGCAGCCTGTTCATTGTCTGCATCCGCACTTTGTTACTGTTTTCCTCTAAGTGGGTCCTTAAGATTATTGAATAAGCTCAGGCCTCATTAGTCTAGTGCTTCCTCTGAGTAGGAGCAGGCCCTGGGTTTATGTCCTTGAATTTTGCCTATCTGAGTATGTATCTAGTCAGCTAATACTTTAGTCTTGTTTTTTGAGCCAGTCTAATTCATTTCAAGGCACGTTGCTATCAGAGAAGTATCTTTTGGTCAAAGTACCAGACTAATGGTATATAGGTATTACACATTTAAGAGTTGTTAGCAGATGCCTATTAGACAGCTGTCCTCTGTAAGTACAGTATATATTGTTATATGTTAATGGTATCCCTTTAGGGGGTGGACTTTATTATTTTATGTGGACTGGTTGTGGACTGTCTTCTTATGATTTTTTTTCTTTTTGTGACCTTGTAATCCCTTTTATTGGGGTAGAGCTGAGCATTTATAGTGTTGGGGGGGGTATCAAAATTGGAGGAATGATGGACCGAATGGGGCAATGCAAGCCCTTTTTGAAAGTGTATGCAATGTCATTGCAAGCAAAAGGGGCATCACTATTCTTTCTACCACCTTGCTGATTTTGGCCCCCTCCTGCAGACATCCCTGGCCTGAATCTTTCTCAGCACAGAGAGTGGGGTAGATTCTGGGCCACTGCTCATTTTCCCTTCTGTCCCAGTAGAGAAGGGGAGTTTTGCCTTCCCGACTGTCTCTCAGGAAACCAGCTTCATGTCTTCCACACCTGAAAGTTATGGGATCCTTGTTGAGAACAGTGAAAATATAGCTTCACCTCAGGTCTCATAGGCCAGAAGGCGAGCGGATAGACCGGTCTATATTTTTTTTTATCCCTTTCCCTTGAATAGAGGGGATGTGAGAACGATGTGCTATCTTTCTCAATCTTCTTATTTATTTATGAGATGTGAAAAGTAGATTGATTTAGGCTTTGCTTTAAGTAACGAGGAAAAAGCATTATGAAATCAAGTCTGAATTTATATCGTCCCACTGCAGATTTGACTGCGACCAGTTGATTTTCTGCTTGCTCTTATCAGCCTTTATATTACATGGGAAAATGGCTCTTTTGATGCCCCATTGGGAGATTTGAATAGCGTTTATTAATTACCAATAGATATCCAAATTTAAACCAATTTAATTTAAGCCAAATTTAAATCAAAAGACTCCCTTCAATAACAAGAAGAAGAAAACTATTGATCTGAAAGCTTGCCTTTGTCACCTAGCCAGATGGGGCTCATAACATATTACTTTCGGTAAACAAAAGTAATTGAATGTTAACCCCACCACCACCAGCAACCCCCCTAAAATTGCTTATCTGTAAAGTTAATCACTTTGAATTGAATCAGATTATTCATCCATCTAGCAGGCAAAGCTTGTTCATTATTAGGTCCATGCAGATTAGCAATGTTTTTTTGGTCTGCTGCTTGTTTCTGGATTTGCTGCTTCCTTTTCCAGATTGTGTACCCTAATTTGGCTCCATGCTTCTACAGCCTTAATAAAACTACAATGCTAAAAATGCTATTGACAGAAAGTAACTAATTCTTTGGATGTAGTTGACACTCTTAAGCTCTAGAAACAACGCAAATTCTACAAGAAGGCAAGTCTGGGTTTCTTGCAAAAGGAATCTAGACTGGCAGAAAAAACCCGATGGGTGCCTTCAAGAGGTTGCTTCCAATCCCTCTAACAGCAATAACAAAATAAAAGGATGGTCTTGACCAGCACACTATGTGTCAATCACAGGTCATATGAACATTGCTCAAAGGTCTTCTCAGCTGCATTTCCAACTGTGGGAATTTGGTTGACAGATTTGGCTGCTATCTTGCCACAACCTATTATCCTTCATGGAATATTTTTGTTATACGAAGAATGGATCCTGGAAAATGTTGTCAAGACTACAAATTTTTGGCATGCTCTGTTTATGCCAGGAAGAAAAAGCTTAGAGACTGGATCTGAGTTTTTGCTTTTATTTGTACTTATTCTCTTTTTTTTTTCTTTCGTTGCAGCTATTATTCAACATTGGCCTATAAACTTGGCAAACATCTGGTATTTCTGATACTCTGTTTCCACTGTTTATCAACTTGTGGATGAGGACCACCAGGAGGTTATGCATATATCAGTAAGTTTCACTAAAATTATCCAGTTTCTAGCCAGATGTGCACTTTCTGCTTAGTCCATTGCCAGTACAATCCAGCCATAATTTGTTTGTTTGTCCTATTTTGATAACACTGAATATAGGCTGATTGTTTACAAAGCAATCAATAAAAACATCTGTAACAGTTAACATGGTTATGGTAAATATAAAAACATTAAAATGCCTAATAATTAACAAAAGAGAGTTATAAGAGAACTAACTCAATGAAATAAGACAATATCTAATAATTAAACTAAACTGGATAATTGAATGTGAAATAAATTAAAAATGGCAATAATAAGCTGTTCCAATATTTTTTGGAAAACTCATTTTAGTCTATAGGGCCATTATTTTCAGTTCCTCTGATAATGAGTTTACTTTCTTGTGCACAAAACTAAAACCCACTTTAGCAAAAAGCTAAAAAAATCAGAAAATACAAAGATGATTAAACTACTTCCTTATCGAAGCTATATTCCAAAATTTCAAGTCTTTTTGTAATTGGGATTATATTTCACTAAACTTTGCAATTTTGTTAGATACTTTTGGAAACACAACTTGGGGTTTTGGGGAGATGAAAGAAATATCTTACCAGCAGAACACATAACATATTAGTATCTATTCTATTCAATTGCTGAACATGCCTGCAAACAGATTCCCCCAAATGTGTTTAATGAAATACATCCAATCAACTTTAATTCATCAAATTACATGGTTTCTGAAAATTAGGCATATGATTCATTCTAATAGCTTTGACATGGAGTACTTTGTAATTTTGTTGTTATAAAATTAGAATGTAATAAGGTCTAGAAAATGTATATATCCAGCAAGATTTGTCTGTTTTAGTGAACACAAAGTCTCCATTCAAGAGACTTTGTTTCTGAGGCAATTTGTGGGGCAATTAGCATCCTTTATTCATCAGATCTTAATAGGATAAGATACTGATGTTTTCAATTTACAACCCTGGAGTGTTTTCCAATCTCTCTCTCTCTCTCTCTCTCTCTCTCTCTCTCTCTCTCTCTCTCTCTCTCTCTCTCTCCTGGTTACCAGAAAAAATGTCTATTTAAAAGACAGAATAACTTCATTATGTCTTCTGTCAGTCTTCTAACCAGAAGCATGCAATTCAGGTTTTCCAAGGGTTAATACAATTTTCAGGCAGATGGATGGGTTTTCCGAAATTACTGCTTTCCATTCCTAACAACTTTGCACTGTGTTCACTTTTGAATGACTTAAAATCTCTGTCCTAGTCTTGCTTCTATTGGAATATCACTCACAAGTAAATCTTTCTAGTGGCATAATAGAAAAGTTCAGGATGATATAACATATTTATTTTGTGTATGTTTTATATTTGTATCCTGTCTCTCTCAAGATCAGCCTTATTTCCAGTAAATTTGCATTTATTATTATGCCTCTTCAGGCTCTGGTTTTAACTTTTATTAAATTGCAAATGTTCCAAAATTTTTGGTGTTCCACAGCACCAGCTTGGCTTTCTGTCCCACTTGAATCAATTTTAACCAATATTTTTAAAATGCATAAAATATATTAATGTATGTATGCATATACATACATTACACACACACACACACAGGAAACATACAAATGGTCAAGCAAAATACTAATTTCTAGCATCAACTTTATTGCCTTCAATACAGTGAACATTCTGGGGACCAAAAGTGGGACCAGGTAGTTCTCAACTCAATTTTACCCCATTCTACGACCTTTTTTGCCACAGTTGTTAAGTGAATCAGTGCAGTTGTTAAGTCAGAAAAACAATTTTTAAGTGAATCTGGCTTCCCTGTTGACTTTGCTTGTCAGAAGTTCTCAAAAGGGGATCACATAAATACAGATGAGTTGCTAAGTGTCCGGATTTTGATCACGTGACCATGGGGATGCTGCAATGGTCGTAAATGTAAAAAACATATAAGTCACTTTTTCCAGTGCCCTTGTAACTTCAAACAATCACCCAATGAATGGTTGTAAGTCGAGGACTACATCCCATCAGTTGTCTTTTTTAACTGATCTCATTCAATATACTATACAGTTAATAAACAAGAAAAGCCATTCCCAAACGGCAGCCATTTTATGAGAGTGCACTAGCCCCAAAAGAAAGGGAGCCGCTGAATGTATATTTCTATTCTGATTGTTACGAGCCTAAGATGAATGATAAATTTTATTTTTAATAACTATTCTTTCATAGCCTTATTGAAATTGACCTCAATATCTACTATGGCTAGATTACACTCAAATTAATCGTACTGTATATATTTGTGGATAAGCTGCGAATTTTAGCTGCTTAAATACACCCTAAAAATTGGATTTGGCTTATCTGCAGAGGACATCCTAAATTAAATAGGTTTTTAATTGAGGTTTTTTCTTCAACTTTTTAAAAGTAACTGGATATTCCATATATATTCACAGATAAGCCCATCCACTGATAAGCAGACCCCTGAATTTTTAACCAATATCATTTATTTGTATTTCTGAAGCACACATGCAAGGTAATTAATTGCTATAACAATTAAGGTAAAACAGAAATTAATTTGTATTATAATGCTAAATTGTGATGTTTAAACAACTTAAAGTTACTTGACAAGTTGATATACTATAAAATATATATTTATCCTGTAGCTTTATCAATATTTCATTATTCCACAGGTTTGTTTCTTGATTAAATTCAGACATACACCAAAATCCTCCATCACAAGCTGCTTTTTGCAAAGAAAGAAAGAAGTGAACCAAGAGAATATTGTGATCTGTATTTTAAATGGACTTAATTGAAAGTAAAAGAGCACAACTGCTCTTGGCAAGCACCCATTTTCATCCTGGGCAAAAAAAAAAAAAAGTTTTCCAAGTGATTACATACATTTCTCACACGGTATTAGTAATAACTATGCCAAGATTTTTCTTACCTCCATTCTACAGGAACAGGCAGAAGGTTCATTGAAACAAAGAGTTGAGTTGGGGAGAGACAAGGAAATTGTCAGCGCAATTTGCATTGTGCTAAAAAAAAAATCTATTAATATATTTATGAATAGAAATAAGTTTGAAAGTACTTGATCACATTTTCCTTTTTCTTAGTAGCTGTCAGAAACCATACACTGCAAACACAGCCCAAAACAAACTTAAGGATAATTTGATAAAACAGCCACAAAAAAACAAATGAGGCTCCACTGGAGCAGAAATGCAGAAAATTAATTATCCTAGTAGTTAAAGCTGGAAGAGAGCAAAATATGATAATGGGGAGGAAATATTTAAAAGCTTTTTGAAGTATGACATACATGAAAAGCTACCACATGGTTTAGATTTGCATGGAGGAATGGATTTCATTAAAGTATCCCCAGTGTGGTAGGGCTGCAAATCACCATTCCATTCCATCATCTTTTATGAGAGCATCACATTAAAAAGAAATCAGACTAAGTTCACCATGATTTTCCATCCTCAAAGAGTTATGTACATGGTCCTGGTGAATGAAGAATACTTTGGAGTTCTGTTTTCCTTGGAGACCAACATACTACCAACATAAATATTATACTCAAGATGATAAAAGCTCACTGAACTATTTCCGCATGGCCATTAGGGGATATTAATATAACACTTCATCACCCTCCCTTGCTTCCTTCCTCTGGATGAATTTACAAAGTGGTCTTTAGGACAGTGTAATGAAGATGGCAGCAAGCATGTAGGTAGCTAAATTTGTGCCAATATCTGAAATATATTATAGGGGGAAACAGCCAGGAACAAAACCAATTCTCAAAATTGTGTTTATCCTGGAGGAAATTACAAGGAAGCTAACGCCTCTCACATTTGTGTGCCTTTCACATTCCACGAGGTTTCTGAACACGAATAAAATCCTAGGCTAGAGTTAAATGTCAGCTAATCCTTCAAGAGAAGCTTTTTTTTCTAACGCATACCTGAAACATTAATAGTTGCTGCAGCTTTTGCAGTGCCGTAAGTCTCACTGTGCTTGTTGGTGGCTATACAGGTGAATAAACCTGGACGAGTGACATAAACCTGCAGCCGTGAATCAATCATTTTGTCTTCTACTGTTTCTACTATGGATCCTGCTGACACCTAAAGTAAAGAGAGAAACGAGAAACTGGGAATGTGATCTCCTGCATAGTCCTGGAGATAGAACATTAATCATTTTGTGTATCCCCATCCCTTGGAATACAGGTAATCCTTGACTTATGACCACAATTGAGCCCCAATTTTTTGTTGCTAAGTGAGACACTTGTTAAGTGAAATTTAACCCTTTTCATAATCTTTCTTGCCACAGTTGTTTAAGTGAATCACTGCAGTTGTTAAATTACTAACATGGATGTTAAGTGAACCTGGCCTCCCCATTGACTTTGCTTGTCAGAAGGTCGCAAAAGGTGATCACATGACCCCGGGACACGGCAAGTGTCATAAATGTGAGTCAGTTCCCAAGCGTTTGAATTTTGATCAAGTGACCATGGGGATGCTGCAATGGTCACAAATGTGAAAAAATGGTCATAAGTCACTTTTTCGGTGCTGTTGTAACTGCTAACAGTCAGTAAATGAACCATTGTAAGTCAAGGACTACCTGTAGTTCCATTAAGAAACTATTTCAACAACTGAGGGGATTCATAAGGCAGTTCTACATATGTTCAATCAGAATTATGTTTGAGTAAATTCAGGGAGACTGATAAGTATGCATCGTTTCAGCATGAATGCAATTAAGGCAAAATGGCCCACTCACAATATAATTAAAGAATATATACTCATTGACAATAGGATAGGAATCAAGTTATGTATCTATTAGTTTATGAAACCTGTGTCTCATCTCTCCAACACATTGGTCTTTAAAGTTTAAAACAGCTTTAAATGTCATGGTTCTGTAAAACTATTATTTGATGACGCACTTGTCTTGCCATGTTTAGGGAAATGTATAGGACAGTGGTGGCGAACCCATGGCATGCTGCCAGAGGCGGCACTCAGAGCCCTCTCTGTGGGCACGCGCGCCGTCGCCCCAGTCCTAGGCCTTCAGCTGGGTTTTATAAAACCTTTTCGCTTTAGGCCTCCACCACCGTGTGCAAAAAAAAAAAAAAAAAAGGTTCAATCAATCAGTCAATTTCAACTTCTTGCAGGGAAAAAAAAGATCTTGCAAAGTTGGAATTGATTGGTTGAACTTTTTAGTCCCACCCAGTCTGCTGTTACCACCACAGCCACCCCCAGCCAATGGGCCATGCCCAGCCAATGGGCCACACCCACCCAACACCCGACGATGCATAAGTGGGTTTTGGATTGCAGTTTGGGCACTCGGTCTCTAAAAGGTTCGCCATCACTGATCTATAGGAGATCCAGAGCAATCACAAAAGAAACTAACCTGGGGGAGAAGCAACCTAGAACTAAGGAGAAAATTCCTAACAGTGAGAACAGCTTGCCTTCTGAAGCAGTAAGTACTTTATCACTGGAGCTTTTTGAGAAAAGACTGGACAGAAATAGTATAGTCTCCTGCGAGAGCAATGGTTTGGACTAGATGACCTCCGAGGTCCCTTCCAGCTCTGCTACTCTTAACGGTTACCTTGGTAACTTTCAATGTTTCCCAATGCTCTTATACTTTTTTCAAGATCGATAGAGAAAAAAAGAATAGTTGTACATTGTTTTTTAATATATCAACCTCACTCCAAAACTATTACTACTACTACTATAGGAGAATTTGATCTAGTAGCTAAGCAGTGAGACAGAAGCTCTAATCTGGCCTTCAACATGGGTGACCCTTAGCCAGTCATGGTCTCTCAGCTCTAGGAAGAAAGGAATGAGAAACCATTGCCAAGAAAACTGCATAGGATTTTCCATATAGTCCCAGGAATTAAGGCTGATTTGAAAGCACATATACATGGACCCACAAACACATTTTTTTTTAAAAAAAAAAAACCTATTACAACTCACAAATTTTCCAAATCTCATGCGAGTTTGGTGATCTTGCACATAACGACCAAAATCTAATTGGATTTGAAATGAGAATACCATCTCACAAGAGATCTGGAGGGACTGAATTTTGAAGCCGGAAGACAATTATGTCAGGAATCTGAATCTTAATGTGAAAACTTAAAACCAAAGAATCTTGGGAAATGGGATTAATCAAGGAACATAAAAGTTGTCTGTTTGGGATTTTTATCTCATATAATAGAACTAAAATTCTTGAAGAAAGAATAACAACTTGCTTAGCTTTGTCCTAACCCGTACAGGATCACAAAAAAATTAATTTGTCTGAAGTTTGTACCTTTTTCTAGATTCAGTGGGGCCAAGAGATAATGTTGCTTTTAAGATTAAACATAATGCTTTAAACTTAAAATGTTTAACGGTATTGAATGTATAATAAATGAACTAATATGGAAATATTTTCCCTAAAAATGTCATTTCCCCCAATACTTGATTGAATAAGAATAGAGATGTAAAAAGGCTAATAATTTAGCACTTCTGTTCAATGATTTACTCTGACTGGCATGAATATCTGCACACACACACACTCCTTTAATTACATACAGTATTAGAGTATTGTAATTCCTACATTAATAAGCTTGCCTCTCATGCTAAAATTTAAAACAAAAAAAATCAAAAGTTTGTCATGAAAAAATGCCTATTATGTCAGTTAAATCCCAAGGCAATTGAGTTGCTTTTTCCATTTTTGCTGAAACATTTCACTTCATTCTGAATAAAATATGTAATCATTGAATATCTTCCTGCAGAAATCATTTTTGGATTTAACAGTGCCAAAACCATTCCTACTGGAGTGTAGAAGTAATTTCCTCAAAGCATGAACTCAGTTTTCCTTCAGTTCATCCAGGTGCTGTAATGTCTGACCTAACGCATCAGATTAAATAATATTCCCAAGTGAAACTGCTTTCCCACATGGAATTAATAGATATCTCTGCAAAGAGACCATTCATACACCTGCAGCTGAGCAAATGTGTATTTTTACACTAGGGCAGTGTTTCTCAACCTTGACAATTTTAAGGCATTTGGACATCAACTCCCAGAATTCCACAGCCAGCATTGCTGGCTGTGGAATTCTGGGAGTTGAAGTCCACATGCCTTAAAATTGTCAAGGTTGAGAAACACTGTACTAGGGAGACAGGAAAGGAAGGAGGATTTTATTTCAGTAGGCTTTTAGATTTTTTAGAATATGTGGGAGGGCATCTATCTATCTTTATTGGGGAGTTTTGCAATTTTTAAAAGTATATATGCCTTTTTTATTGGTTTGCTCATATACATAGCCCAGTCCTGTAAAACTGATATAGCTGTGCAGGTAATGTAAGCTAAATAAACCAAAATAAATAGACTTGGTTAGCCACAATTAGCTTATGCATGAGTTACTCAATTAACTCCATTTTCTGAATTGGCACAACACAATAAACATATACTTGCCACACAGTCTGATGGTTCACACAAAGTCTATTCAGGATTATGCTTCAGGTTCTGAGTCTTAGCCTGAACTTTTCCCCAAATATTTAAATGTTTATGTTAAACGTTACACAGAGTTTTTGGGGGGATCCTACATGAAGATAGAAGCTTTATCAATTAAAATAGCATGTAGCCTCATTAAGCTTCATTGCTCAATAGGTTTACTGCAACTCTTTCTATTTTCTCCTCTTTAGATTTCGTTTTGGTTTTCTGAATCCAGTAACAAGGTTGCTTCTAGGACTTGAAGAAAGTTGATATGTTTATGATACTCTGCTCTGGGTAAAGGCTTTTTATTAGAAGAAATATGAGAATCTGAAGGGTGAGTCAGAACAGTTCATTCTGCCTGGACCACACAGCTCAGAAAACTCTCCTTGCCACGTTCACTGATTGAACTCACAGAGCGTTGGAAAATAAGTTAGGGAAGATTGCAAACAGTTTCAGTTTATGGACAATCTCTCATCAAGTCTGCCTTAGGTAAAGGAATCCCCGGCACAGCTGATTTTAAAACAGCTTGAAAGGGAGTTAGATATTGCAGCTTGCCATTTGCTTTATGGAAACTAATGAAAAATGGTTGCACATTGTTAAAAAACTGTATTTTTAGCTTTTCTAAGATGATAGTTTTCCTGTTTGAATTTGGAGACTGTCAGGCTGCACTTTGCAACTGTTTGCAGAAATCCCATGACTCATAGTCAAAGAACCATTAGAAATCCATGAAAAAGATAATTATTATTTAATTATTAGAATTATTATCTAATAATAATTCTATAAGCAATTCAAGGTGTTTGACAGTGTTAGGGCAAACACTTTGTAAGAGACTGCCATTTTCTCAGAGTTAGCACTCACTTATCATGCAAAACTGCAACATGGTTTGGTTGCTTGTGGCTTAGCATATGGTGCCAAACCATCCCAGTATTGTGGTTTATACAATAATCCAAGTTCAAGTAAACCATAATTTCACAGGAAGAGTGAACCAAGGTTACTTAGTTGCAGTATTGAACTGCAACTGACTGACCTGGTTCATCCATTATGTGAATTTCATACGTTTTCCTGTGGACATAGATTAATGTTTTAAATTCATTAATAAAAATAAACTGAGCTAGACGATCATGGGCATTTCAAAAATAAAAGCCATCCAGAAACTGAAGTCTGTGGATACTGAACACAATCAGGTCTTATCAGAATTCTAAGTGGAAAGTCCTTTGTTCTGCACCTTTTGTTGGCATTTTGGATGTGCAGGTGAGATTGTGTTTCTATTCGCAAACATCAGGGTTTTCCCAAGCTTGTGCCCAGTTGTACAGAGGTGATGCCTTTTGGCCTACACAATACATGGCACTCATGTATAAGCACCTGAAGTAAAAATAATATATATTTACACATAAGATTCATGGCATCTATCTTACCCAGGGGCAAATTTCATCCTTTTTGTTAGCTTAATTCTTCTTCAAAAGTTATTGTGTTTAATTTAAGTAGGAGAGCCCATGTAGGCTAAAATTAACAATTTGTAATATACATATTGATAAAAAATGTGCAGTATTTGGGTTTTGTTCACATACACACACATTGCTTTACAATCCTGTAGTTTCCTAGTTTTTCAGTGCCCAAATAAATGAAATCAAATCAAATCCGTTTATTACAGCCATATGGCCAGAAACAGTAAAATATCCAATTGAAGGCTACACACACACATACATATATACATACATACATACATACAAATGCACTGAGCATGATCTAATGATGAATAAGAACACATGCACTGAGCATGATCTAATGATGAATAAGAACACATATGATAACATTAATTTTAAAATAAAAAAATTATTTAAAAGATCTAAAAATAATATTTATCTTATTTATGTTTCTGACGAATCCCCAGTGCTGCTGCGTAGAATCTAGCCACCTGCGCCATAATCATAGCCTGTTTGTCCTTAAGCAGCCACTGGAGATATGTAGTGTCAGAATAGCCAGGATACCTATCGATTATTGGGAGAATATGGTTTTTTTGAATATCTCTATAGAAAGAGCATTGAAGGAATATGTGTCCAAGGTCTCCACCTCTCCTGAGCCACAGGAGCAGAGTCTTTCAGTCAATGGTATCTTTTTATACTTGCTATAAAAGACGGCCGATGGAAGCGCATGTGTACCGTGCGAGCAAAAATACTTTCTGATGGTTTCTGACTCTGGACTCAGAAAATACTTTCTGACTCCAACTGGCTAAGATAACTGGTGGGAGTAACAACATATCTAATAGAGTCTGGAGCTTGTCCGCTTGTCGCAAGGTTTGTTTTGCTTGGTCGCAGTCCACTTTAAGTATTGAGGCTGGAGAGAAGCCTAATTTGGCAAGGTTGGACTCGACTACCTTGATCCATGATGAGGAAAATTCAGTGGTGGGATTCAGATATGTGAACAAGCAGTTCTCTGTGTGGATGCCGCTTCCGGAAGTCCATTCTGGGCCTGGGCAACAAAAATTAGCTACCGGTTCTGCCGAACTGGTGCAAACTGGCTGAATCCCACCACTGGGAAAATTTGTCCTGGAGGATTAATGGAGCAAGGCCTTGCGGAAAGAAATTAAGCTTTAGCCAGATATTTAAAGAAGCTATACAAATTCTTGCTTCGACTTTTATCAATCAAGTGCATCTGAAACATAATGTGGCATCATGCAACATATAGTATCTGGCAGGAGTCCCTAAACCCCAGGCGACAGACCAGCACCAGTCCATGCCTCCAGGAACTGGGCCATGTAAGTGAGCGGAGCCACATCCACACGTGCCTGAGATCCAGGCAACACCCAAAACCATACACCCCCATCTGCAGAAAAACTTCCCTCCATGGAACAGGTCCCTGATGCCCAAAAGATTGGGGTCCGCTGGTATATAGGCACCTTGATAACAGCAAGAATCATGCTGGGACCAAGGAACTACACACCTTACAAAATAAACCTCTATCCATAGGCAAGGCTTAAAAGGATGATACAAAGATTGGAAAGTGGAACCCTGAATCCCCAATCGTATATTACATTTATAGAAGACAACAAACTCATTACTTCATATATAATTACACTGATAGTGTTTACAGGACCTACCAAAAATAAACAAAGTCATAGTAAGAGCCAAGTCAGAGCCCAGCGACATCAAAAAAGGTATCCGTTAGCCAAAAGTCCACAGCAATCACGGGCAACCATGGTCAGAGAGGAAGGTGGCATGAATCAGGGCATTGCTATGCAAATTGTGTAATTTATGTCAGTTACTTCATGCAACTGGCTCAAATAATTCATATCAACTGTGCCATCTCATGATACATGTGATACCATTGCAGCTTGTACCAAGTATCTATGATAGTAGGGTTTTCTAAAACAGTTTAAGTTGCAAAACACTTTCTAGAATTCTGGAGATTGTAGAGGATCTTTGGAGTATCAAACACCCTTTCTCATTCTTACCTAGAGATGCCAAAATATCATAATCTTGGCCTTTTCCCATGTAAACAATATATGGAGGTGTTTGCACATGAGAAGTTTGTTACTCAAAACAGATTCCAAACTATTAAGTTAAATAATCCAGCCACATCAGAAAGAAAAATGAATTGTATTTCCATATTGCATCTCTGCTTTGCAAGAGCCTCCAACTTTTCTCTGCTGGTTTCACCCTGTTTCAAAGCCCAACTGAATTTGGTTAAAGGATTAATCATCAGAATTTAGGAATTGCAGAGATACTTACAGCTTTTCCATTTTCAAGCCATGTTATAGTGGGAGTTGGAATGCCTGTTGCTACACACTGCAGAGTTACCACAGAGCCAAAGCTGACATTATAGGATTCAGGAGCCTTCAGAATTCGAGCAAAAACTAAATGGGAAAAAAAAGCAAAAACATTAGTAAACTGAGATCTGCTATTGGTGAAATATTTTATTTATTTATTTATTTATTTATGAGACTTATATACCGCTTTAAGTGCAAGCACTCTCTAAGCAGTGTACATCAGTAAGCAATGTATATATATTTACATTGCCCCCAACAATCTGGGTCCTCATTTTACCTACCTCGGAAGGATGGAAGGCTGAGTCAACCTTGAGCCGGTGAGATTTGAACCACTGACCTGCTGAACACAGTCAGCTAAAGTGGCCTGCACTCTAACTGCTGCGCCACCTCGGCTCACAATTTGCAGTTTCCCACACTCACAAAATAGTTGAAAATGGATCCAATCCAAAGCACCCAAACGTTTCTGAACTCAAAAAAACACCCCAAGCATTGGGCTAAGAGTGCACTGTTGGATTTAAGTTCTTTAAAAAATAAAACAAAAGTATTTCCCATCATTGTTAGTCCTCTATAGAGAGAATTGTATCTACCCTCACTAGAAAGAAAACAATGTTTGGTATCACAGAAACTCAAATGCTCTTCTCAAAATCTTACTTCTGCAAATGAATTGTACAAATTATAAATTTTTCCATAACTTTGATTTATGTATGTATGTATTCATGCATGCATGCATGCATGCATGCATGCATGCATTCATTCATTCATTTTTTCTATTTTTAAATTGCTCATCTCCCTTAGTTTATTATTTCTTTGAATATTTAATTTTTTAATTTTTTTATACAAGGATATTTAATCACTATTTGTGTCAATCACCCCAGAAAGTCCAGTCCTAAACTGAATTATGAGCCCTAATAACAGAAACATTTGCTATATCTGTGAAAATATTTCTGGAAAAGAAGAATTGCCTTTAGTCTTGAAAGAAAAACAAAAAAAGATATATTGGGGTTTTATTCTCAGAGTTTATTTAACCCTTCCTGACTTGCAAAGGCTAATAAGGTGCACACTTTTCTGAGTAGATAACCTCTAAGGTCCAGCCTGCCCTCCTTCCTTATGGACTGCTTGAATTCCTTTTAAAATGAAAATTCCTCTGTTAACTATAGGCTTTCAAAATTCCTTTGTCAATGTTAAAAAGAGTTTATATGAGGTATGCTTTCCATGGGTGAATCCAAAAGAAACCTGCAGAAACAGTACAATCTACATGTCCTCACTTGGGGCTGTAGTGAGAATGGGGAATATAAATAACACTAAAACAGTTTAATGTCCGGTGTCTATATAAATCTGCTGTACGAAATGACTCATTTTCCACATATGAAAAATATATCGCAGCAAATTCCAAAAGGCAAGTTCATGCAAGGATAAGATCTGTTCAAATTACCTTCCCTAGGAAGTGGGTAAGGACGCTCTTTTGATGCTAGAGCTAGATCTTATATCGGGGTAGTCAACCTTGGCTCTTTTATGACTCGTGGACTTCAACTCCCAGAATTCCTGAGCCAGCTTAGCTGGCTCAGGAATTCTGGGAATTGAAGTCCACGAGTCATAAAAGAGCCAAAGTTAACTACCCCTGTCTTATATGATGCATTTAAGGAGCTCAAGTGTAGAGTCAAGTTATGTCTTACTTGTTGGCTTAGTTCTTAAGTGCATCCAATGAATCTGTGCATCAGATAAAATAGCCTAAAGTTCAGGAAAAATTGTGTCCTACTAAATCTAAGATGCCTTAAAAAAAATTTTTAATGGCTTTTCCCAGTGACTTCAAATAAATAAGAACCAAAGATAATCCACAAAAGTTTATAATAAAACTCTCCTAAAAGTTATTGGCTAAGAAAAACAAACTCAACCCAGTTGCTGTTATTCATCATGTAGCAGTGGCCTTTAGATAAATTTCTTTCTCTTTAATTCTCCAGGCTGTATTGCTGGAAAAATCTGAAATAGGAACTATTACAGGAGAGGACCTGAAGTCTCATTTGGATTGGGAACAGGAGACTGCATTACTGCATAGTAATTGCTGAGTGCACAAAATTCACTTGTTAAAAAAAAAAAAAAAGCACAGATCAGAAGGAAATTGTACAAATAGAAGAGTCCAAGAACAGTGCTCCAGCTGTACCCATTTTGCCTAAAAGTAGTAGTAAGTACTTTTCAGTAAAATGAGATCTTAATTTTATTCTGCTGGATAATAACCAAAACAATAATCCTGTCTATGGAAATAAATAACAGAAAAGGAAGGAGCACTGGGAAACTTTATACATTTTTAGTCACAAGAGTTACACCCAAAATAAACTCTATCAGGGTGCTAGAAACAAGCAGAGCATTTCATCATTTTATACCTGGCTTTGGTGTACAAAGGTCCATACAGACCCAGCAGAGAAGAATCCAGATCCTGTTGTTTGAAAGCTGCTGGTGTGGACCTAGTTTTTTATTTATTTATTAGACTTCTATGCCAACCATCTTGCAGAGGCAACTCCAGGCAACTTACAGTTTATGCCTAAATAGCACAGTTGTTGTCGTACTATGCTTCTTCTTGTGCTTTTCTCAGTTATATCTAAATCTTCGGACTGTGAGGTTCTGTACTATGTTTTAGATTGCATGGTTCCATACAATGTATACAATGTATACAATGCTGCTAGTGATACCCATTTCTATTGTGGATAAGTCATCCGTGAGGTGCATTATTAATATAGCTGGTTGGAGATTTAAGCCATCCTTTGCTGAGCTAAAGCCTTTCTGATATGATGGACTAAAACTTCCTTGCAGCATGAGGGATGGCCATGCTGGCTGAGACTTCCGGAGTTAAAATCCAACATCTCTGGAAGTCATCCAGTTAAGAAAGACAAATCTAAGTATTCCTGGAAAAAGAACTAGAACAAACCAAGAGCTGACATCAGCCCTGTCATTCAGAATAATGTATCACATTTATCCAAATATATTACCCCACACACATATGCATACGCAAATATTCTTGGAAAAGCCATAAATATTATCCCATGGGAAGCAATGTTATAAGATAAATTCCCAAATGTATTTCTTTCAGAAGTATATTTGTTCAGAACTGGCCATCAACATGAATTTCTTGCAGACAGATGAACAAACCTTTGGTAAGAAGGCCATTAGGTTGATTAGATTTATCTCATTGATTAGATTTGCTTGTTAGTTTCTATTCACTCATACATTCAAAGCTGATCTCTGGGTTTCAAAGACTTCCATTTTTGTCCTGAACACTTCGCAAAAATATATTTGCAGTACGGATATCAGATGAATGCAGATTCTGTATTTGAGTGATCACATGACCAAATGGATCACTCACCTTCCACTTCCAGAATTACAGGTTTAGAGTAGGCTGTCCCGAGACTATTCTTTGCCACACAGCGGTAATGTCCACCATCTTCCTTCTGCACATTATGAATCCTTAAACTGCCAGATTCAAGAATAGCAATCCGAGAATTTTCCTGCCACAAAATATAAAGCTTCAAGTGAAATGAGGTAGAATATATCTTATGACCCAGATGTATATATTTATTCATTTGATTTAGATTCCTATTTCATTTGTATAATTTGAGGCAGCTTATATAATGGTCCTTCCTAGTTTCCCCACAACTGCCACCTTAGTAAAATGATTTGGACTGACAGGCAATAATTGGATCAAAGTCAGCCACTCAGTTTTCACATCTAAGTTTGGACTAGAACTCACAGACTCTAGGTTTGCGGTCCAATACCTTAATTACTCATCCTCTCTATGAAATAACAACTAATGCAACAATTTTTCTCTGACCAGTTCTGCAAAAAGATGCAGGTTGTAATTAAATACATACAGTACTCACCTTTATCACATTTTCTCCTTTGATCCAGGAAACTGAAGGCTTGGGATTTCCCATTGTAGTGCATGGGAAAACAGCCTTTAATCCTTCAATGATTTTCAGATTTGAAGGTGGACGGGTTATTTTCGGTTCTACAATTTTAAAGATCAAAATGAAATAGAGTCAAATATGCTAAAACCACATTTTTAGCACAGGGGTGTCCAACCTTAGCAACTTTAAGACTTGTAGATTTCAACTCCCAGAATTCCCCAGCCAGCAAGTTTTAAAGTTGCCAAGTTTGGACCCCTTTGTGCTAAACTCACATTATATTATTACAGGATGATGGGTCCATTTTCGTCATCAGCATTCACACTCTCTTCTAAGAAAGCAATGGAAAAGCAACAGAGCTTGCTATCTTCCAAACACCTTCAAAGGAGTGTAGAAGCAGGGAACTCACACTATCTCCCTGTTTGAGGAAAATATATGTAGTTGTAGGGGGATCGTGGAAATTCAGGAAAAGTTAGCTAAGATTGCAACTTATGGGCTGGTGAGGGGAAAACATTAATATTGCCACTGCTCAAAAAGCTTAAGCTAGTACTGATTTCACAAATAAAAAGTATGTTGGTAGAACAGCAAAATAAAACTTGATATTTTTCTTTCTAAAATTTTAACAAGAGTGTTTAAATCTTGCTCTGAAGCCAATTTTTACATTGCCTAAACTTCAGAAGCGGTCCCAGTTTAAACTGCTAATATTGATCTTCTGGGCCATGTATTGAAAAACATGATTACAATTCATATTTCTCTGTGCTCAGAATCTGCTAGTTTTTCTTTGTTTCAAAATGGCCACCTTACATTTCAGAACTTTCTCTCATCTAGCTCCTCCTACCCTATGGTATCAATGTCTTCATTGAGCTATGCTTGGAATCTGATCTCCTAAGATTTATATGTAGTTCTTTTTTTTTTTTTTAGGATCTTTATGAAGTTGAGGAAACTTCATGAGTAGCCGGTACCTGATACCAACTGAAATTCAGTAGAGTTAGGATTAGATAAATTGCTTTATAACAAGTACTGTAGTCTTCTATTTACAAATTTTGTTTAACAATAGTTCAAAGTTACAATGGCCTAGGTAGAAAAAGTGACTTACAACCTGTATTGGCACTTACAACTATCATACCACCTCTGTGGTCACATTGCAATCTGGGGGTTGGCAACTAGCTCACATTTAAGATCGGATGCAGTGTCCTGCATTCAAATGATCAGGTTTTGTGATCACGATTTTCAGCAAAAAAAGCCCATTAGGAAAACTGGGTTTACTTAATGATGGTGTGATTTGCTTAACCACTGTGTGATTTGGTTAATGACTAACATAAAAATTGTCGCAAAATCAGGTCCGACTTGATTTATGACTGCAGTGACTTATGGATATTCAGATGTGGTCGTAAATGGAAGGCATTTCTCAGCTTACAACTACAATGGAGCCCAAAATTTCTGTTGCTAAGTAAGACAGTTATTAAGTACATTTTGTTCCATTTTACAACCTTTCTTACCATAATTGTTAAGTGATTCTCTGCAGTTGTTAAGTTAATAATATGGCTGTTAAGTGAATGGCTTCCCCATTGACTTTGCTTGTCAGAAGGTTACAAAACGTGATCACATGACCCTGGGACACTGCAACTGTCATAAATATGAGTCAGTTGCCAAGTGTCTGAATTTTGATCACATGACCATGGGGATGTTGCAATGGTTATATGTGTGAAAAACAATCAGGTCAGTTTTTTCAGTGCTGATGTAACTTTGAACCATTAAACAAAGTGTTGTAAGTTGAAGACAATCTGTATTTGTCCTGCCCCACTCCCCTCACACACACACATGCACGCATAGCGAGTGTTCTAAAGATATTTATTCAAACCCCCCAAACAGGTCCTCAGAAAGCACCCATGTTGCACAGGTACAGATTCCAATCTCAGCACAAGAGTCGCTGGGTAAACCAAGTCCAATGGGCACACACAAAGTCCAGGGAAACAATCCACAAGTCAAATGGGTCAGGATACACAGCACAAGTACACAAGATAAAGAACTGGGCATGTTGCTCCAGCAATGTTCATGTCCTCAGGGCAGAATTAAGTAGGCGATGCCCACAAGGGGTGAGGTTGCCTCCTCACGAGTAGTCTAGCTGTTTCCCCTCTGCCCTACATCTCTTTGGATCGGGAGGAAGTGTGAATTTCACCTCCTCTTCATCACTAACTGTAGGCAGTTGCTCCTGGACCTTGCCTGGAGCCTCCTGGCCAACTCGCTGCAGCTGTGGGTTTGCCTCACTCAACCTTAGCCTGTTGTTTGTCTGATCAGCCCAGCTGAGGCTGCTCCTTCAGGCTAGGACTCTATGATCTGGACCATCACGCGACTGTGCTTTCCTCCGCTGACTTAAACTTATCCTCCTCCTCTGAACTTGCATTGGGAGAGAGGTCTGGGGGTGGATCCATGACAGTATCATTTTACTGTTGATATTGGGTTATATGTATTGATAATTTATTCCTTTGCTTGTACATTGCTTAAATTTAAATTCATTCAAAATAAAAATATTAATACTCAAATAAAATATTGCCTTGTTTTCTAGCTCACTTGAACTTCAAAGTGACTTTTACTTCAGTAAAAGGAAAGGTATACTTACTCATTTTCACTTGTAATGCCCCACAGCTTTCTGCTTCTATTCCTACACCGTTGTTTGCGGTGCAACAATATATCCCATCATCACTGTCTTCCACACTCAAAATAGTTAGGAGTTGCCCATTTTCTCGTATGGCATATCTAGTATCAAAAAACCTGAGAACATATTAAGATACATCATTATTTAAAATTGCAAGTCTGAATGTACATTTCTCCCTCCCCCCCCCCCAACCCAGCCTGGCCTTTACAGTCCAAATAACTGGTCTTAGAAGGTGGGGCTCTTCTGAGATGTTTGCCATGCCCACATTATTTCTGCAAGCTAAGCTTCTTATCTGACTATTGTCTAGTCTGCAGCTGTTCCTCCTGCCTTCCTATAAATACCATTATATGTTTTATATTTATCATACACCTATAAAAATAATGCATGAATTAACTTTATAGAATGCTGCTCTGGTGACCAGAAATAAGATAGGATGTAATAATATGGTAGAGACCAATACTGTGGTCTTTTGTACACTGAATTCATACCTGATAGGAATGTTATTGCGTGTCCAGGTAATCTCTGCCTGAGGAAAAGACTTTACGACACACACAAAGGTGGCTGCCTCTTCAACCAGTGCATCCACTGTCTCAAGAGGAGTAGTGATGATTGGTGCTGTGACCAAAAAAGACAGCATAAGAAAGTGAATAAATTTCACATTAGATCCTGCAGCTTGACGAAGCAAATTTTTACAAATCCAAAACCAATTCCACTTGACTGGAAAATAGTCAAGATATAGAGCAAAGCTATTCAAATAAATGCATTTATTCGTACATTATCTTATTCTTTCATTCTGAAGCATGGCAAAGGTTCTCCACTTTGTATAGTATTTCTGAATATTCCAAGCATCTTAATAAACACAATCTATTTCAGATCATTGTAATCTCTGGATATTAAAAAGGCTTTTCAAAGATGCCATCATTTTCTGAAACTAGGTCCTGCAGATATGAAAGGCAGGCGTTCTATGTTGTTCCCCAGATATGAAAAGTGGGGATCACACTCTTTCACAGTTCTTTCTGTTCTGGGAAAGGAATCCAGATCCTCCTTATAGCTACGCCTTTTCAATTTGAATTCATTTCTCCAATGGTTTCAAAATCTATTTTAAAGGTTGTAACTATTTCTGTTATTTTTTTTATTTAAAAAAATTAAAGCCATTTTGAACCCTTTATGGCTTGGAAGGCAGGATACAAATTATGTAAGTAAATAAAATTCTGAACAAATGATTGCTTCTCAGGAACACCATTTTTTTAATAGCAAAGATTGAGATCAGGATGAATCACTGAATCACATTTCAGTGTAATTTGGCTTCATGACAGATGATAGAAATCATAGTTTGCTATGTTACAATGACCAATTATAGATCTGAGTGGAGGCTATCTATGTAGTCTGACACAGCCAAAAAACTTGATAGTGCCAAGCAAAGTAATGATCACCTCCCTTAACATAAACTGTTTGAAAAGATACAAGAAATGCCTTTCAACTTTCTTCAATATTTATATAAGCATGGAACTTTAATTCTACTGCACATACCTAATTTCTTTATCACTGGACGTTTTGTATATGTTACGTATTACATTAGCAGAGATAAATGTAACTCTGGTTATGGCTTTAAAAATACATGGAAATGTTTTCGTAATCACATAATTTTGTTTGATAGATATCCAAAGAATTTATGAATTCTTTTGTTCTTGGTGGAAAATGACATACTACACACAATTGCCAAAAGGAAAAAAAACCCCAATTTTTAAAAAGATATTGACTGTTGTCCCTGGCATTTGGCATTCATTTTGACACATACCAATGGGCATGTTATGAGTAGAGAAAAGAATCCCCCAAAATTCATAATATTGCAAAATGCTACTATTCCCGTATCTCTCTTCCTTTGTAAGTACTCTCATGAGACTGCAGCTCCTAGTAGTGAAAAACACTCTGGTCTGATTTGAAGATTTTCCTTTCTGGTCTACAGTAAGTCAAAATTTCAAGTTTCAAACTATAGAGCAAATATATATACAAGATTCCTAAATTTCTATTTGATGAGAGGGAAAGCAGTTTGATAGAAGGCAGAGCAAACAAAGAATTTAGCACTGTGTATTTAATCATCACTCATATTTCAGCCTCCTTAAATCTCTTACAAACAAACATTGAAATCAGATGGAATTCATCGTTTAATCGCTGCTATTGCTGTAATCAATCTTTGTACTTGTGACTGTTAAATCTATATAAAGACAATGAGAATGTTTTTTTCAAGTCCCTACATACAACAGAGAAGAAGTATATATTTCTGAGTTATTATCATTTTGTCCTGCAAATGTTATAGGGTTTCCTGCTTGAGCAGGGGGTTAGACTAGAACAGCAGCCCCCAACCCTTTGGGCACTAGGATTGGTTCCATGGAGAGAGGTTTTTCCATGGACTGGAGGGGACGTGGTTTCACGTGCTGCCTACATCCCACTTGTTTGCACAATCCAATTTCTGCCACTCTGTGGACCAGTGCCGGTCCACCGACTGGAGATTGGGAACCCCGGACTAGAAGAACTCCAAGGTCCTTTCCAACTCTGTTATTCTGTTATTAAATATGCTCCATTGTATTCTGTATTTAAGTTCTTTTAAAAAAAATCCATAAAAGTAATTTCAGTTTGCTTCTTTTTTCTTACAGCAAACATTTCTGGACATACGTATTGGCCAGGTGCAATTTATGATGTAGGTTGAGCGTTGAAAAAAGCAGCAAAGTTTTTAAGAAATGGAGAGGCCAACTGATCATTTCAACTGCAATCTGGATACCAATTTATTTGGGAGTAAATTCCAGCAAGACTTCCGGTTTCGTTGATCTGTAGAGGAGCTTGCTATGATCACCTGGTTGCCAGCAACATGACCTTAATGGGCCTTCCTTGCAAGCAACAATGCAGGGAGCTATCCTCAAAATTCTAATCTGAACATTAATCAAGGAGATATATATTATGTCACTTCGTACAAGCATCTGCCTCACTCAAATTCCTCAAGCATCTCTGTATCTATACATATTTACTTAGAAGTCCCAATTGCGTTACGTGGATTTATTCCCAAATAAACATTCAACATTGCTGGCTATTTATATTTGGAAAACTGTTTTTGATACATACTATAAACAAAAAACCTACATAGGGAAATTCCTTGCTCACTAGCAAGGATACGGTATGTACAAACAAGACAAGCTCAGTGCCTCAGTTCCTCTTGTTCTATGGTGATTCTCCAAAGACAATTACAAATGCACTCACAGGCAAAATGAGTTTATTGATAGGAATCCCAGGAGCTTATATATTTATCCCAGAGCCTGGGCTGCCACAGGATCAAATATAATATATATAACCAGTGGCAAAGCAAAGAGATGACCCATTATTGACACCTACCTTTAGGGAGCTTCTCTGTCAAGCTGAAGGCTGCCAGGGTGAAGATCTGTATAAGAGGAATGTTGAGCCAATCTTTCATGATTTATCCAGAGACGGTTGAGGGAGAGTATTTGTCCCCTTTAGCCAAAGATAGGCATTTTTCTTCTTGGTTGCTTAGTTTAAAACATGGTTTGTTGCAAAGTTCTGCTCAGACACTGACTCATGGGTTCTAAGTATAAGCAGGAATCCTCCGACTTGGCTGCAGTGATGGACATGACCAGCTGGTGTGCTTCAACGTCAGTCAGCATCAACAATGTGGAGGCTCATGAAACAAGAGAGCACAAATCCCCTTGGAATGCCTTTTGAACAAACAGTGGGGAGTACACAATGCCTCCATGCCTTTCTAAAATAATAGCTTGGTCTCAGGCCAATAAAAAATGTTGAGCTTTAGCATCGTATAAGAGTGCGTTCATCTGGAGATTTTCTTACCTTTTTAAAGCCTCCCTCTCTTGCTGGACCAAAGCAAAAGTCCATTTTCTCCTGGATGTTTGTAAAGCTATACAATTTGATGTATCTCTTGTCCGAAACTATCACAATACCGTAAACTCAAAGTTCATAGGTTTATTTCATTATTTTGCTGGGCATCTATGAGGCTCCCATATAACCAACCTTAAGAAGGTTACATATCCTGTTCTATAAAATTACATTTACCATACACATAACAATCAATAATCCATAATTCTGTGCCAAGAACAAATATCTATAGCGTAAACAAACATCTATATCCTACATTCCTAGTGGGATTACTTCAAAACACACCTATCACCAGGTACTGATGGAAAAGGCAGGTTTTAATCACTTTCCTAAAATCTAGTAAATGTGGAGCCCTACAGATTTCACAGTTTTAAAGAAGGAGGGAGCAGTTGAAAAGGTTTCTAAAGAAAGCAACAGCATTTAGCATTAGCATTTAGGCTTATGTACCACCCCATAACACTTTACAGCATTCTCTGGATAGTTTACAATGTAAGCATTATTTACATATTGCCCCCAACAGTCTGGGTCCTCATTTTACAGACGTTAGAAGGATGGAAGGCTGAATTAATCTTGAGCCCTGCCAGGATTGAGCTGCAGGCTATGAGCTGAGTTTGCCTCCAATACTGCACTTCAACCACGGCACCACCAGAGGTCCTGTGCGCCATCACTGTCTCATCAGAAGGTGACATTCTCTCGTACCCATACGAAAGGAATAGATATCAGCCAGTTTATGAGAATACTATTACGTAGACATTAATGATATTCACTTAAACTTAACTTAATTTCACTAAAACCCAAAACAACTCAATAAAACTGAGCAAGCTCAGGAAGTGCAAAATATTGGACTGTTGTGGAGAAAGATAAAACCATGGCAAACATGGGGATCGAAAAGAAAGGGAGTAACTGACTAGGTGTAGTTTAGAACCAGACAGCAGCTTTTTCACATAGCCACATTTTGTCAGAAAAAGAAATCTACCTTGGTCTAACCATGAGCAAAACAAATATTGTATTAGACAAGGTATCTGACATAATAGCTGTGATCACATTGGTCTGATTAAGGCTCATCTTCACATCCTACTAACCACAGCAGGAGGATAACCTCTCCACATTTTAAGAACACAAATGACATCATATCATCTCACCCCCTGGCAGTTCTTTTCATGTTATTATTTTCATTTTGCTATTTTATTGCTATTTTTATTACTATGTTTTACATAATTATTTTCCTGCTTCAGACATAAAGTTTGCTGTGATCTCATTCATTCATTCCTTCATTCATTCATTCATTCCAAGCATTTATAAAGCTGCCCAACTCAATATGTTTCTGGGCAGCATACCACAAGAATAAGCATTCAGAAAAAATAACTATACTTTATTAAAATGTATATATGATGAGTTGAACAAGATTATTAGAACAACCAACATTTCCACTGTCCCAAAGGTGCTTTTCCAAAAGGCAGCTGGATTTATTTGGGTTTTTTCCTTGAAAAGGTTTCACTTCTCATCCAAGAAGCTTCTTGCATGAGAAGCACTACATTTTCAAGAAAAAAAAACCAAGTCCAGTTGCCTTTTGGAAAAACACCTTTGGGACAACCATGACCTGAATGATTGAGAATCTCTATGGAGATAATTTCCACTGGCAATGTTGGTGATGATACAATGGGCATTTCCTGTTCTTCTCCAGGACTTTGGCTTCCATGGCATTTCAAATTGGGCAGTACAAAAGGCCAGACATGTAGTGTCTATAGAGACATCTACTCAAATAATGCCAGATCACCACTTCAAAAAGTACTCATAAGGCATTATGTGGCTTCTTATATGCAGGGATGTAGCATTCTTCTAACTCAGGGCTAGGCAACCTTGGCTCTTTTATGATTCGTGGACTTCAACTCCCAGAATTCCTGAGACAGCATGGCTGGCTCAGGAATTCTGGGAGTTGAAGTCCACGAGTCATAAAAGAGCCAAGGTTGCCTACCCCTCTAATCTAACTCATATTAGATCTGTTTTTAAATAAAGGTTTAGCACACTTTTGAAATCATGCTGGGCCTGTAATTTAATTGACAGCTTTTTTTTCTTCAGACAGCTGGTTTTGTGCTGCATAAGAAATTGATTTAAATTGGAAAAGAGAACCAACTTCTCTGACCTATTCCATCTAAGTACATTCTAGGTTTCAGTTGCTTCTGTCCACAAGGATTTTTTCCTGAAAATACTCCTTACGGTTTTTTATTACCTGTCAGAGAGTATTTTGTCTAACTCTGCACCATTTTGGGGTTTTTAAAAATAATTTTTATTAACGAAGTTTTCAACAGAATAAAACAAAACAAATTTTGGGACTGAAGTTGAGAAAAAAAAGGGAAAAATAATGAGAAAGTGAAAAAGAAATAAAGAAAAAGAAATAGAAGAGAAAGGAAAAGGAAAAAGTAATACATAGGAATAAATAGTAACAAAGCAGCTTTCAATCTTCTTAACAGCAGTTATATGTACATTTATACTCCCACACACACACTTAAGGTTACATTATAATTTACTTCTTTTCACAATCTACCCTGTCTAATTATCAAATCCATAAATCGCCAGTTCATTTTTTTTCTTTTTTTCAGCAAAAATTCCACAACCTAATTCTACATCCTTTTGCATATCCCGAAGGCTGCTTCCCATAGAATAGAGGAGGATCTAGCATTCTTTCAGAAAAGCCCTTAACCTATGTATCTATATATCTATATTCAGAAATAGCCCAAGGGACAAATATCCAGCACAGAACCAAAAACATTCAGATTATTTCAAAAGTAACCAACCCAACCACTCCCACCTCATCCCAAATGTCTGCACAAATTCAAGCAACCCCACCCAGAGCAATTGGTGATTGTTTTTCCTGCTGGTGGGAGGGATTGGTGAATCCACCAATCTCTTTCCTTGCTTGTCCTGAGCCAATACCAGCCCCATTAGTGTACCAGATTACAGATCAGCCATCGGGACAATGCAATTTATGTTAACATAGTTTCGTCCTGACTGGGGGATTGGAGAGTTCAAGCAGCTGTGAGAGAGAACCTTAGACATATCAATGTTATCCACCATGCTCGAAACCGCCACGGTGAAGTGTCTGATCAGAGGAACATAAATTAAGGGGACTCTTTAAAATCAAGATGATTAATAACTAATAGTTCATTGCATGCAAATTGATTTTTAAAGTTAAACATATGTTATAGAAAAAAATAAAGTATATCCTGGAATATAATTGCTTATGTACATGATCACCAATAAGGTTTTTTCACTTCATCGGAATTTGCTTTATTGGATGAAATTTTAAAAAATATTCTTATACTTGAAGACAAACAAAACTTGTCAGTTTAAGTCCAGAAGCAAATTGCAAAAACAGAGTTATGTCTTGGAAATAGATTCTGAAGTATGCAAGGCTGCAGGAAGTAGAAGCAAGTTTTAGAAATTGCTGCCGATGGGGACGGAATGTTTTTCTTTTAATTGATCTTGCCAGCAGCTGTTGCTATGAACTGAGAAACGATATACTCTTCAGGCAGGATAAAAATGTAAACTTGTTAGTCTGTTCACAAGTAAATTAGAATATTTGCTTTATATATATATATAAAAGTAATGAGTCTTTCTAAATGTTCTTTATTTGCTTATTGATTTTATTTTTATAAAACTTTAAATAATCCCAAAAAAAATCTTGCCCCGCAGTGTTATTTTCGATTCCATCTCATACTAATGAAAAAAAGCCTATTTGCTTTCTCAATCGATAAAGCCCAAATGTAAATACTTACAAAGAAATCTTTAAACTTTTCTAATTATAATTAATTGCACAACCAGCCAGATGTTTAGACTAGTTTTTATCCACCTATCGAGTCCGTTCCAAGGATCTGGGATAGGAAGATTTTGTCTGATGATGTGAATGAAAAGTATTGTTGCAAAATGTAAGCTGTTCAAATAATGCCGCTTTTTGCACTTGACTAAGGGTTGTTTTTTTGTGTGTGTGAGTGTAAATGCTCCAGCTGTTTTGGGATTGCACCCAAGGTACCTATTACTGTTGGTACTACCTTTGCCTTCTTTTGTCATAGTCGTTCCACTTCTGTTTGCAGGTCTTTCTGTTTTGTGATATTTCTTCAGTTCTTTCTCTTTTATCCTACTGTCTACATGTATTGCCATGTCCACTATACAGTGGTGTATTTTGTCAACAATTGTTAAGTTTGGGGTGTTGTATGGCAGGTGTTTACTTGAATTCTAAACTCTTTGAGCACTTTAGCTTCTTTATTTTCTGTTAATTTGTCTGTATTGCGGTCTCGTCAGTTCTTCTTGCAGACAAATGCTATGGATATAATTTACTTGGACTTCAGTAAGGCATTTGATAATCTAGATCACAACCTACTACTTGATAAAATAGAAAAATGTGGGTTAGACAGCATCACCACCAGATGGATCCGTAGCTGGCTGACCAGCCATACTCAGTGTGTGATCCTCAATGGAACCACATCTACATGGAGCAAAGTGTGTAGTGGGGTGCCCCAGGGCTCTGTTCTGGGCCCAGTGTTCTTCAACATCTTCATTAACGATTTG